CTATTGGTTCAACACACTTAATCTTAGCCATCCCGTTACATTTTATTTGTTTAAAACCCTTAATACGAAATTTTGAATGCGGATTATGTTAATCCTGTTTATCTTCTAATACGTTAAAATTCTATTTGTTTAAAACCTTTCATTTATTTTCATAAACATCATAATAATCTAGATGAAATTTTATTAACAAAATTATAATAATATAATACGAGGATTACTTTTAGTGGAATGTGGTAAAAGTTATAACTTAAACAATCAAAAATACTTTCTTACTGATGAGATTTTGCGTCAATAGACGTATGATCGAATCGTAAAAATAAATACCTAATTATTTGAATCTTATAATTTAATACGAAATAAGCCGCAAATAATAATACACCTAACATTTAAAAACTTATCGATTTAAGTAGTACCGATTTTGGGGCGTTGTGGGGTGTGAATACACTTCCCCACACGTAACCGTACTTCCGAACCCAAATCTGTACAATTCCGCAGACCAAGTCCCGGTTTCGATCCTAAGGTCGAGACCGGACCAAATAGTGTTCGACCCACTACATTTAAGGTCGATGGCGACTCCGAGCGAAATCGCGAGCGATCCCAATTTCGAGGGGCGGTTGCGACAGTGGCGTTGATGTTTTTGTCGAAGGAAGGAGAAGAGGGGAAACCGAAGGATTGGACAGGTCGGCGGCAATAGCTTCCTCCGGTCGTCTTCTCCGGAAAAGGGATTTTGCCATTTTGAGGATTGGTCAATTTTGGGTTTTAATTTGGGGTAGGTCAGATCATGGGTTAATGGGTTGGGTCACATTGGTCAGGTTTTTATGATGTGGCAAGCTTTTATGACGTGGCAGGATTGAATTTTATTTTATTTTTGTCAAAAATAGGTGACTAGGTGAGTCTGTTAGCCACGTCAGCAAATATTTAACGGTGTTAACGGAGACTGAAGGAAGGTAACGGAGAGTGACCAAACTTGAACCATTTAACTAATTTGAGTGACCAAGATTGAATTTAAATATTTCTAGTGACCAAACATGAACGCTTTTTGTAATCTCAATGGCCAACCATGCGGTTAACCCTTAATTTTAATTTGCACACCTTCATCCGAGACATGAATAGATTTGTAGTAGAATCATGTGAATTTACTGAAGATTGGAGTCCAAAATCCCAAATTTTAGGGTTCGCTTCTTTCCCCACTTTTCTCGAATCTTACATGTCAAATTATAACTGATGGGTGACCTGAATAGATTTGTAGTAGAATCATGTGAATTTACTGAAAGCATAATTATTATCCTTGGTTTACATGATTACGAGGTTAGTGACTAATTTATGAATGATTGGTTGACCGTAAACATAAAAAAAAAAAATTTGAGTCACAAAATAAGTTATGAATTTATTTTATAAATATTTCAAAATATCAAGCTTTCATCATCTCTGGTCGTGATATCAGAATTGTGCATTTTATGAATTAATTTTTATTAATTTATTGACTATTTAATTTTATCGACCGACACACGTCAATAATAATATTGACTCCACCACTCCAGATTCTCATTCAAACTCTAGTTTCGCACCACCACATCTACACAATATATTATGTACTTCACTCTATGTCATTGTTGCCACCTTGCACATTGATTGGCTCTCCTTATTTGGTGGAAGGGCAACTTTGACAATTTTTCAAACACTCAAGGGTCACTCATTATTATTGGAATTTTGGTTTTCTTTTTAGTGAATGTGATTAGGATTAAGGGAAAAGAAGATTTGTTTTAAGGTAAATGCTACATAATAATTATTTGAATTTTTCTTTGTGTAGATTTATTTTGTGTGGTTAAGGAAAAAACAGAGGCTATATAAAGTTGTTTAACTCCTAAATGAGATAATGCTTGCGAATTGGATTTTGAGATGATAAAGACGATATATCGTTGTGAAGTGGATGTTTGGGAAGAGGTTATTTATGAATAGGTTTTTTCGCATTAGGGTTTTACGTTAAACAGATAAACCAAGCATCAACCTTTAAAAGTTTTAGAATCTTAACTTCACAGAATTTCGGCAAACATAAGAGGAAGAAAAATCGGAAATCTTGGCAAAATACAATCAATTTATATTGTTTTTAATTCTTTTAATTTTCAAATTAGCATGTCTAATTTTTACATTAAATTTTGAAAGGTAAGATCGCATGTTTAGTCGTCGGTTAAACAATAATTCCATCCATATCGTATCGACTCGATATTTGTGTCCAATTAGATCAAACAAAAAAATCAATTTTTTTTACTCTATGTAATTGCTTAAAGTCGAGATAGGTTTTAATAGAAAATTATTAAACGTAAAATATAGTCCAATGGAATAACTTAAATGCTTCTTCATCCTAACTACGTTGTTATTTACATCTGAGTAGTTCCATTAACAATTACAAAATAGTTTTATAATGATAAACCATTAATCATGAGTCATTGAAATTTTCCATCCGACAACCGCTCCGCTTTGGAAAATATAGGATATAGTCAATAAAATATTTAATAATATGAGCATATTGTTAAAGGTTAAGTTTGAATTATGATAACTAAAGTTCAAATGATTGAATAACTTACAAAGGCCATTTCAAGTCAAAATATTCTTTTGCTAATATTTTTCATTTTTGTCTAAAAAATATAAATTTAATACATCTATACTAATATTTTTGGATTTTCTTTACATAGTTGTCCAAATAATCTATTTCCATATCACATTTTTTCTCCTCGAATTTTTGTATCTTTAAAATATTAATATTATGTCCATTATTTCCTTTTTTAATTCAATAGGTGAAAATCAACAATATTTAAATTAAAATAGTAATAAAATTTTTAAAGCTTCATTTGCAAGCTAATTATTCACATATAACGAAGATAAAGATTTTTGTTGATTTTTTTTTATTCAGTGATGTTTAATATATCAAGGCATGAATATGATTTCAGATAGCTTTTCATTTCATTCGTTGTCTAACTTAAACTTCTTATGGTTAAGTACAAAATGAAACACAAATTCAATAAAATTATAAAGTTAACGGGCACAAAAAAACATAACTTATCAAAGTACTCTTTTGTACCACCAGTGTACAATACTAAAAACTGAACTACCTACGTTTAACTAAAAATATACACAAATGACCACAAACTGGCCAACGGGCCGGATACAACACTAGTTGACAAATAAAAGTAAGGGAGAAAATTGACTCAACTACACATTTGTTGGAGAAAAGAATAAAAATGAAGGTGGAACGCTCAACATTGACACTTAAATAGGCAGGCTGAATATTTATTTATAGATATTACAATAAGACAAGAAAAAATGTATATATGAGAAATCTCTTTACACCCGAGTAACATAGACAAATGAAAGTAACTTTAAACTAGACAGGTAAATGTCTTTTCTTGCCACACTACGATAGTCCAATTGACAATTTTAAGACCACACAAACATTAAGCCTAATGTCTAGAGTAGCTATCATCTGCAGGCATTGTCTGAGCATCGCCTGCATCGGGCCTCCAGAGCAAGCAAATGACTTAAAGAATATGGTGTTATTGTAAAAAAGTACATCAATTTCTTCTTCTTAAGTGTTGAAATTTTCTTGCTTAACGATAATTTAGGATATTATTCAACTTTACCATTCACCATAATCGAGTAGCTCATGAACGAGAAGAATAGGTATTTCAGTGTCTCAGGCAACAAATTACACAAAGATAAACAACTGAAAAGCCCCATGCATATAATATTACTCTTATAGCTTGCCTCCGGAAGAAATAGAGCTTGTAGAGAAATTAAAAGGATTTGAAGACTAACAATTAGGATTAATTGCATGGTTGGTCACTTTCTCACTGAGATTATATGTACTTCTGGTTTTGATTTTAGGGATTTAATTTGTATGGATCGGTCAGTTCAAAGTCGGGTATGTTCTAGTTAGAGGGTTGGGTTAGTCCATATGACATGGCGGGTCGGATCTCACTATTTTCGGGGTTATATTGGGCTTATTAGACAATTCCGTCTGCCATGTCATCACTTAACTGACTTTGTTAACGGAGATTGACGACGACTAACAGAGAGTGACTAAACGTGAACGGATTTCACTAAACTAAAGGACCTAATAGATTTAAATATTTCAAGTGACCAAACATGAACTTTTTTATAATCTCAGTGACCAACCATGCAATTAACCCCTACCAATTATGTTTTTTTTTTTTTTTTTTTTTTTTTTGAAACCCAATTATGTTTTTCTTTTCCAAATGAAGTCCTACAACAAGTTTCTTAAAGATGGCCGATGGGGTATCCAAATCTCCACATTTGGAGATATTTTTTTGTGGCATGGGTACATGACCATTGCAAATTAATTGTGAGATCCCAATAAGTGGCACTCCACATGGCCGAGGTCTCCAATTCTTCATTGTTTGGATATATTATATCTGGGCAATTTGATTGTGAGATGAGATGTCAATCAATACATATAACAAGCTTTCCAAAAATAACCGTCAACGATTCCACAAAAAAACAAAAAAAGAAGATGTGTCGGGAAAATTCAATGCTTTCCCATTCCCGTCATAACTCCAAAGTCTCCAACGCGTTTTAGAGAAATTAATCCTCACACTTATTTATACAGATTCTCCATCTAAACATGCTCGGGTTAATTCCATGGTTGGTCACCGAGATTATAAAATACATTCAAGTTTTGTCACTCGAAATATTTAAATCCATTGGTGGTACTTCAATTTACTGAAACCGTACACGTTTGGTCACTCTCCGCCCAACTCCGTTAACTTTTGCTTATGTTGCGGTCAACTCTAAAAGTTAACCTTTAAATGTGTGACGTGGCAATTTAAAAATAATAAAATTAAATTTTTTAAAATTGCAATATCATTTCCACCTAATTATCACTTTTATTTAAAATAAATTTAAAAAAACCCTAATTTCTTCTAATCCCAATACCATTCAAACTATTCATACCAGAAGCCTTCTGGTATTCCCCAACCCTCTTCTCAAAGAAATTCGGCTTCCCCCTGCAACGAAATCAGCTCCATCCAATCAAAAGTATTCGTCACATTGTAAATCTTCCCACAGCCAAGGCAGTCTAACAACCTATCATCAACGAACTCAATATACTGGCCCATCAAATCCCCATTCATCCCTAGTAGCGAGCATGGCAGGGCATCACAAACAAACTCCCTCTCGATATCCACTAACGATCCCCTTCACTTGCTCCTTGCTGGGCTCCACCTTCATCAACCCATACAACAAGTAGGCAAACGTAATCAACCTCTAGGCAAACGATTCCCCGTCGTCGATCCACTTCAAGGCCGACTGGGCCTTCTTAGGGATGGCAATTTTACCCATACCCATGGGTATTTTACTATCCAACCCAATTGGGTTGGGTATGAAATCCAAATATATGGATATGGGTAAAGTTTGATGGGTTTGTACCCATACCCATTTACTTTGGGTTGGGTTGGGTTTATAACAAATGGATTTGGGTTTGTACCCATGCCCAAATACAAATTACAGTTTGGTACCTAAATTTAATATATATGCATATTTAGTACCTAAATTTAATTTTTTTTGCATGTAAGTCCTCAAAATATCGATGGAAAATTACGTTTTGGTACCTAAATTTTTTTTGTCTTACATTTTGGTACCTAAATTTTTCAAGTTTTACAAATAAGTCCAATTTTTGCATGTGTAGTTAAAACACCCTCAAGTAAATGGGTATCCATATCCAACCCATACCCATTTAGATAATATCCATATCTAACCCAAACCCATATACAAACCCCAAACCCATACACACATCACCCAAACCCTACCCATAATAAATGGGTCTACTTGGGTTTGGGCAAAATTACCCATGGGTGGGTAAATTGCCATCCCTAGGCCTTCTTGGCCACACAAGGCACCGTCTCGATGGCGCGGAAGAGGCGGATCTTCTCGTCGGAGTCCTTGATGTAGGTCTCGAGGAGGAGGTTGTACATCTCGGAGTGGATGTTCTCGATCGCGATCTGGAACCCGTAGAAGTCTCTGGCCTCCGCCACTTGCACTTCCTTCGTAAACCGGCCGACGAGATTCTCGAGGACGATTCCGTCGGAGGCGGCAAAGAAGGCGAGGACGTGGGTGATGAAGTGGCGCTTGTCGGAGGAAAGTGATTCCCAGTGGCGGGTGTCCTGAGAGTTAGTGTTGGGGATTAGAAGAAATTATGGTTTTTTTGTTTATTTTAAATAAAAGTGATAATGAGGTGGAAATGAGAAGGCAATTTTAAAATATCTTATTTTATTTTTAATATTTTTAAATTGCTACGTCACACATTTAACGATCAACTTTTAGAGTTGACCGCCACGTAAGCAAAAGTTAACGGAGTTGGACGGAGAGTGGCCAAACGTGAATGGTTTCAGTAAACTCAAGTACCACCAATGGATTTAAATATTTTGAATGACCAAAATTGAACGTTTTTTGCAATCTCAATAACCAACCATGCAATTATCCCAAACATGCTCCATTCAAAATTTCTAGCTCTATGAGAAAACTTAGGGAGGATATTTTTGTCATGTGTATTTGTTATAAAAAAAATGTAACAACTCTACGCATAACCCCTATAAAAGTGACTATTGCTCTAAAAAAAGTTATCCTAACAAAACAATAAAGAGATTCCACCTCGCAGCACCTTTACTTTATGTTTTCCTGCGCTCTGCGCAGTTCACGGGAGGCTATATTTGTAAAATGGATCCTCCGTTCGATTGAGATGGGCAGCCGGTAGAAAACGAATGGGCCCTCCCTCAAAGCCCATTCCAGCTCCTAACACCAGCAACGTCGTCCTCTCTCCTGTCCGCCGCATCTCTCTTCCCGTCCTTCCCGTCCGCCTCCTCTGTCGCTGCTGGAAACTTGACCGACCTCTGTCGCTGGCCGAACCTCACCTCCTCTATCGCTGGCGGCCGGAATCACATACCGGCGGATTTTTCACATCGCCTCCCTTTCAGTCTTCCAACCCGGAAATCCCAGCGCTTCTCTCTTGCCATCTCTCCCAAACGAACCACAATCCAATTCCTCACTTTTAGTCTTCCAGCCAAGATATCTCACGATTCTGTCTCGCCCTCTCGCTTCCAGCCGCAAACTCAATCTGCTCCCGAAATCCCCTATTGGCGTGAATCTTTTCTTCTCCAGCCCGGAAAAAAGAACAGAGCAGCCACTCTTTGAAGTTGCAACCGGCCAGCAATCTCCAACAACTTTGCTTCTGTATCTAATCCCAATTTTTCGCTAGATTGAAAGACGGTTAAGTTTTTTGCTTCAAAGCCTGGATTTCCTGGTAAGTTCCTCCATAATATATGTTTTCCCACTTTTATGTTGATTCTTTTGAAGCTTCTTTGTTTTGGTGTGTGGTTTGAATTCCATGTCGTGAGTGTCGGAAAAGGGAGGGGGATTAGGGAAAGGAATAATTTCTTTGAAGATGGTTTTGGTTTGGATGTTGCTTTTGTATTAGTGAGGAAGCTTCATTCATTTAAAGCAACAACCTTCCCATTTGCCCCTTAAATCATGAATTGCAGGCAGATTAGTATTTTCCAGCTTTCGATAGTGTTCATTGGAGTTATATTTCGAGCTACAATTTGGGATTAATTGTGCAATCTCTTTTCAACATTGCATATAAGTTCTTTGGTAAGTGTTTCACCTCTTGGAGTGGGATGATTAATTGGTTCAAGATTGCTGTTTTTTTGTGTTAGTTGGTTCATAGATTCATTACCAAAAAAACATTTGCTGCTGTAAATTTATAATTTGTTGAAAGTAAGTTATAGGTCAATTGAACTGATTGTTGCACATGGTCAAAATGTGTGCTTTTTGAGGCTTGCACTAGATAATTTCATTGAGCCTAATAGTGAAATGATGTTTAAACTCTTTTAATGCAAGTTCACTATTTTTAGTGACTTTCAACATTTTGTGATCAGTAACTCTGGTGTTTGAAATGTTATATGCTATTTGGAGGCGAAAATGAGTAAAGATCTCTATTGTCTTGGGTCTCAAGGTTTTGTATATGTGTAAAAGTTGCAGAAGCATAGTTGTGATGTTCCTTTCCAGTTGTGTGAATTGACGTGCCCCTCCTATCAAATCCTTCCGGTTCATTCCATCAACTTCCACTCTTATATTCATGTGCCAAGTCTTTTACGGGTGGCCTGACTAATTTTTAAGCATTGGGTCATCTCAGGGTATTCCTATCCCCTGTTTAGATTTTCTCCCATTTTCCATTGTTCAAGCTCATGTTTATTGTTTTCAAATTCAATGTTACAGTAAGAACCCATTAGCATGGACTTAGATGTAGTTTTTATTAATTTCACTGCTTTTGACTACTGTACTTTTCTACTGCTTTGCTACTAGATTAGATACTCAACTCTATTCTTTTGTGGTCCTCCTCATTTTCTGTATTTAGCTTTGTGGGTCAGTTGGTATGATTTTGGACAGCCCAATTAGAATTCTTTCTCATAGATAATAATTACCGTGGCCCTTTTAGGATGGTGCAACCATTAGATCATCTACTTGATTAACTGCTATTGAGAATCTCCTCTGAATGCACAGAGTGATGGAGGATTTCAACAGAAACTGAATGCTATCGTTGTACTTAAATGATTTGAACAAAAATCGTCTAATCAACTATCTTAATTTGTATCATCCTGAATAATGTAATCAGTTGTCGTCATGCTTTTATTGTTTTACCAATTCTACTGTCTGTGCTTCCTTATAGAAACATTCAGTTGTGTGGGTTATATGTGTATATGTGTGATGTCCCCTCCTTTTTTCTTTCCAATTTGCAATGTATCCAATTGCTAACTATTTAGTTGATATCATGTGTGTTTCAGCCCTCCCACCACCGCATCAGTTCCTGTAATCAAATTAGTTTGAACATGCTCCATTTAATTTCATCTATGCTACTACTCAATGTAATATACTCATTTTTTTCTCAGTTTCATGTTTTCGTCGGATTGTATGTCATATACTACTCAATGTAATATACTCATTTTTTTCTCAGTTTCATGTTTTCGTCGGATTGTATGTCATATATGCATTGTGTTTTTGTAGCTTCAAATTGTAATCAATTATAATCTGATTAATCAGAGACACCGCTACTTGAAGACAACAACAGCAGCACTCGAGCGCAACTGCTCCACCAGTCTTTCTTCCACCACTCGAAGACAATTAAGTGATTGACAGTAAGGTACACAACTGTAATCCTTTTTTTTTTTTTTTTTGAGTTATGAACTCCTATAACTCAAATTACACATACACTTGGTTGCATTGGCTGCCGAAGGCGAATCTCATGTTCTTTTATGTTCTTTCTTAATCATGCCTCTCTCTATCTCATGATTTGTGCATTATTACTATCCCTTCTTTGTAAGTGGTTGTCAAGTTTTCCTTTAACATGTGTTTTGCTCAATACTTGCTTGCATCGGTTGTTGAAGGCAAATCTCATGTTCTTTTTTGAAGTTCTATGCCTCAAAGAAGAAGTATTCCCCATGGGAAGTCATCGACAGTCTCAAATAATGAGTCAATTCGACCATTAAAAATTGAATGTAAGTACAAATATTTCTCTTAGCATAATTATATAGATTTGCAATTTAATATGTTTCATTTGACGTGTTATTCAGGGTATAGAGAGCTGATTTTTTACCACAAGAAGGTGTAGTGGATTCTAATCAGTCTCTATCTGAAGCACAAAATAATATTTCCGATGGTATGATTATCTATTAAATTTCCGATCGATTTTTTTGCATATCTGCTGAAAAACTTTTACAAGACAACGATCAAATGAGAGGACCACCACCGACTCATCTCCTACAAATTGAAGGGATGACGTTGAAGTTCTTCATCAAGCTCATGGGTTACAACATCGCTAACCCTACAAGCGAATACACAATTATCAAGATAGGGAAGGATGAAGAAAACTCCAACTCAAATGATCTGCCAATATTGATCGAGGTATGTCCAAGTAATGTCAAACTGTCATTTACAACACTTTCCAATACTTAAAGACGTTGATTTTGCAATGTATATGATTCCATGAATGTTATAGCTATTACTGGTACTGGAAGTTCTATTTATTGAATCATAATTACCATGCACTTTCCATTACGTGAGTTTGAGTTTGATTTTGATATGTTATATAATTCTATTACTGCTAATGGTGTACCTGTTGCCGTTGATGGTGCTGAGAAAAAGCAAGATATTGCTCATGAGGAGGAGGTAAATATTACACGATGAGAGAATTTTCTTTACTAGCACAATAATTATAATACCTAAATTTTGTGCTAAATATAATACAGAGAAATGAGGAAGAAACTCCCCAAATGCAAGAGAAGGAGGTGTCAACATATAATGGAGCACAATGCAACACCAATGGCCACAAAGCAACTACTATGGATGGACGTACTGATGTTGTCGATGGAGCAGGAAGTGAAGATAACCAGAAAAAATGAAAACATGGAGTTGTCTCCGACGATGAGGAGTAAATAGAAGGATTCTTTGAAACAATTTTAGGAGTCGGTTCCCTTTCATGGGGTTTTTCTTTCATTTTCGTATGAGGATTTTGTCGGTCAGGATGTCGGTTGAACTATATTATTCTCTTTTTATATTTATGGTTAAAGAGGATGTCGGTTGAACTATTTTATTCTCTTTTTATATTTATGGTTAAAGAGGATGTCGGTTAAACTATTTTCTTCTCTCTTCATTTCGTAATGGTTTTGGTACTATGTTGTTTTTTTCTTGAATGAAAGGAGATGTTTGTTCTTCCTCTGAGGTTTCTCTCGAGGCAACATCGGAAGTCAATTATAAGTCATTGTTGGCTGATGATAACGTACCCGATGATGAGGCATCAGAGCTAAATGTATCGATACCTGGTGCAACGAAATGGAGAAAATGGACTCAAGCGATTAGGAGAGCAGCTAGACTACAGGCGGCCAAAGATGTTGCTCCAATGAAAGTAGAGATTTTGGAGGTAAGGGAGAAAGGTATGGAAGTGGAGTAACTAACCTTCACTTTGCACAACGGTGAAGGTGATGTTCTCTGTTATCTATACTCAAAGGGAATTAAACCTCATGGGGTGCTGGGTTCACCATGACCGCGGGAAGACAGCGTTACTGCTTAACCTATTGCTCTGATAACATGAGAAAAATAACCAAGTATTGAGACCGAGACACGATCTTTTACGTGGTATCTCCAATTTTATGATCAGGACAAATCCACAGAATAGTTCAGAGTTTAATAAATTCAATCGACCACAGCCTGATCTGATTTATAAATGAATCCGGCCAACCGGCCGGGCACGTGACTAGTTTCTTAATAATTAAATAATTGACAAGTAAGAGACTATTATCACTCTTCACGTCTCAACTAATTATTATATTTCTATTTGATAATTCATTTGAAATAAAACAATTATCAATAAACAACATTTTTAATATTTAGGACTCAACTTTAGTTGCGGATTCTTCAACCAAATTATATATGAGTTTGTTGTTTCTTTTCTTTTCTTAACATGAGTTTGTTGTCTCCAAGGTTGGATTTTTAGAGTTAATGCTGAAAAGTTATTAAAAATAATGGAAGAATAATATATCCTCTCTCATAGTTATATCTTATTAAATGAAGAAATGGAGTATTTACAAAAAATAGATTGTAATTTAAGTTCCACATCAGGTTTAGTGGTAAAAAAAATGTTGTCAAAATAGCATTTTATATTTTCAAACCTTACGCTTTTAGGTTATCAAAACTAATCTACACAGAATCACACTTTTTGACTACATTTTGTGCAATAATGTCGTCAAAGCATTTTCAAGGTTAAAAGTTTATGCTTTTACGCTTCTAGGTCACCGAAACGCTTTTAACTAGAATCATGCTTTGAATGCGTTGGTTAGAACACCACAAATCCCAACAGAATTAAGATTTTCGAAGATAATCAATGATCTCCAGCAACAGTTGTGACGAGAATGAGGTGAATTCTTTGTTGTGAAAATTATTTTTCATATATGGTTAAGTTGAGGTATTGTTTGCTTTTGGGATTTGACACCCAAATCCCAAGCGTCAAGGAGTTGGCACAAATCCATCGTTTGCTAAGGGACACAAATCCGTGGGGCTCACGGATTTGCAAATCCCACATTTCATTTGGGACCTATGGTAAAAATTAACTTAAACAAACAATGTTATTAGTCATTTTTGAATACCCATAATACTGTGTCATTAAGTTTATTATGAGTTGATATTCCTTCCATGAGTCCTATAATTTTAACTTCAACCAGAATCTGCATATATAGAAAACAATGATTACAAAGTAATAATATGTATGATGAATGCTCATTTTCTATTTTCTCATTAATTGAATAATTTCACTTTCTTAATGGCCAACTATATTGGTATTTTTAAAAATTGATAGAATTACTTTTTAATTCGGATGACATTAACATATAATCATGACACGAATATAAAAGAAGAGAATATCACTAGAATTTAAACTTTGAACATTTGTTATCTACGATTATCGATCATATTGCAACCGGCCAACGGGCCGGGGTACGATCTAGTTTTAAATCGAAAAAACAGGCAGCATTATGGTGCACGCGCCGGATACAAAGTAAGTAACCGAGCAACAGCAGCATGTGACCTAACAATTCACAATTGACAGCCTGACAGTTATCCAGATGTATTCAAAATTTGCTACAAGATACTCGAATGTTTTCTAATAAGGTCGTCAGAGATACGGTCTCTGTTTTCTAAAGCTCGACGTGGAGAGCTTTCTCGAGGAAGACAGTAACAATTATGGGGCCAGCCAGATCGCCGATAGCACAGCCTGCACAAGGAAAGCTTGAGCATCATCAACTCTGTTTGAAGGGCACATGCTAAATTACATAAAACCTGGCAGTGATGTAGATTGCTTACCAATCCATTGACCAGTTGTGGGTCGGACAATGGCAGCAGTGATCCCAGCTCCTATGGCAGCAAAAACTAGCGAAGCACCACACCTGAGAGTAACACCAGTAACTTTCTTGCCAAGGATTTTAACTTGTTCTGATTGTGCAACCCGAGTGATCTCTTCTTCGGACTTCGCCAGCCGATTGAAGAACCGGTATGTTTCAATACCAACTTGCACAATCCATGATGCAGCAACTCCTAAAAAGTGCCCTGCTCAAACAAAAGGGCAACACTGCCAAACGTCATCAGTTGGAAAGCCCTGGGACATTATTTGCCAGAAAGAGGAAGATAAGGAGTTCGACCTCTAAAAGTCGTTCTACTGACTCTGAAGATGTAAAGCGTGGTAGGTAATCCTCTTTCAGCCTTGCGCATGGCTGATTTTGGGATATCTGTGAATTGGTTGTTCAATGAGTTAGCAGAGCTAAAGGGATATGAACAAAATGGGAGAACTTGGAAATTGTTCTTCAAAACCTTCAAACCAGTATTCAGCTTTATACCAAAAATTTCTGAAGATGCTAGAGGGGAAGAATCTAGGAAACTAAACAGGATATCAAAAGTTTACATTACATGTCGTAGTTACCTTTAAGAAGTTTCCATGCCATTCGTTGCGAGACATAATGGACAGCAAGACGTTCTAAGATCCTCCTTGTAGTCACCACAGTTGTCTGTCATGAGAAGCAGTCACATTACAATTATATCATACTCACTACAAGTCTACAAGCTTATACAATTGTACTCGGTCAATTTCATTCTTAGAGAGAAAACGGAGATAGTTTCAGCATGCTGACCGCAGATTCAATTCTCTGGTTCATAGGGGGTATCATTTGCATGCAGATAGTTAGATCACAGAACCAGAGGAAAAGCGAAGTAGCTTTAGTTAGATGTATCTAATGGTTAATGAAACTTATCTAAGTTCAATTATCATGGTACAATAAACCCCAAGTGGTTGAAAAGTGTAAGGGTGGACGAAAACATTCAATCCACCTGAAATTTGGGACACACATTACCTATGAAAATAATTGCTTGTCAAAGTATACTACAAACCAACAAGGGGGAAAATAGACTTGTAGTTATGGAGCAGCTCAGCTATACTGTCCCGGAGACAAACCCTCGTACACAAATCTTTATTATGCCTGAGTTTTTAGAGTCTAGAGCAAAAAACTGCAACTCAAGTCCTACATAAAGACCGAAGATAAGTATACAATGCAAAAGAAAGCAACACTACAAAAGTTGGTGTTCTGCTTTGGCCAGTACTTACTGAAACCATTTCATGTCAGCTTATACCGACTCAAATGTATAGGAGAACAAGATTCTGACACACATTAAGTTCTGTAGGACTGAAAACCACGGAAAAGAAATGAAATTATACCTCGCGAGCAATTTGCTTCACCGACTTTCTGAAAGGGACAACTAAATCAACAGGTCTCTCATCTCGAACATCCTGCAGGAAGTCATCATCGTCCTCTTCCGTATGTACGCGTGGCTCCAGAAGAGGCAAATAATACAGCAAGAACGACCTCACTGATGTCATGGCCAGTTGCTTTGCTTCAAATGCTGAGAACAGTGGCTTTACATCGAAGTAGTATTCCTTGTTCGTGTACTTCAGTGAATCATGCTGAAAGACGCTGCTAGAGGCACTTCGGATGGCGGATAAATAGTCCTCAGATATTGCAGCACCCGCATCACAGTAGGCAACTGGAAATTCAGGGAAACTGGCATGGCAACAAGAAGTGGCATGGCAACAAGAAGTATCAATTTTCCCCACACTGAAGACAACAATGGATACCATACCATCATGGGTGCAAACAAATCATAGGCACGCGCAATTGTAATCAGAAAACACAAACCACAATCCACGACATAGGAACGCATTGATCAAATTCCAACCCAGTTTCAAATCACATGTCACATCATGCCTAGCTAATTCCTTTTGAGCATTCCAATCAATCAAAACCCAGATTCTTACAACACAAGGGGATCACGTTTCTCGTTCATCGTCGATGCATAAAACCGCCAAAACTAAAACAGAAGCAGAAGACCATATAGACATGAATCGTACCCGAACAAGGACCGAGAGGCGAAAGGGGTGCTCGCAGCAGCGACTGAGGCGGCAGCAGCTGATACGGCGGCGGAGGCAGAGAACTGAGGCGAATAAGAGCTGGGGTTTTTATTCTTCAACAGATCCAATACTATTGCGATACCCGCCATTATTCCTAACTTCGTCTCTCAATGCGCAAGGACAGACTGGACAGTGTTTTTCCAGCTAACAAGGACAGGGAGGGGAACTCCGATGGTGAAGATAATCAGAAACTCGCCCACTGATTAAATCTTTCGCCGGAAGGTTTCTTACGGGACTAACAGCCGAAATGTCAGCGTCCCGGAAAAAAGGTGGTCTCTTTATCAGTGCCTGCCTTCACCGTCCAGTCGAGAAAGGAAGGGGATTTTTGAAGCTCGTGAAGGGATTACAAAATTTAGGGATTTAACCTTTTATTTTCCCTTCAATTACTAATGCTAGTGCTTCAATTAGGGCGGCAAATGAGCCGAGCCGAGCCGAGTCGAGTTTTACCCCAATTTGAGCTCGGCTCGTTCCCTTCAATTACTAATACGAGTGCTCCGAATTCCGATTGCGGAAAAATGAACTGATTTGACCGGTTAGCCGCATCAGCTTTTCTATCGTTTCAAGGTTGTCAACACATGGGTTGATCCACTAATTGACCCTGGTTCGGTTAGAAAAATGGGTCGCACACACTCGTTGGATTGACCAGTTGTAAGATTATAAGATTAGAGGTCACACATTGTCGTTTTTCCTTTTCGTTTGCGATATGCGGTTATTTTATGGTTTCCCTCTTCACCTAACTTTATTTTTGGAATTCTAAATTGGACATTTGAATATTGATTTTGTATAAGTGTGTGAAATTTTACTATATGTTGGATCCTAATACGAAATGTTATTTTTGTGTAATGTTAGTTAGATGAGATTTTATAATAATTTATAATTTATAAACAATATAATGACTTTTTGCATATATCCAAACTATACCGAATTAAAATGGTCTAATCAATGCAGTCAAAATCGCGCTTTAAAACTTAAAAGCTTACGCTTTTACCTTTTTTAGTCACCAAAATGGTTCTACGTAAAATCGTGATTTTCTCTTACAAATGTAGTCAAAATCTACACTTTAAAACTTAAAAACTTACGATTTTATACTTCTAGACCACCCAACCACTTCTAAATAGAATCAAAGCTTTTGACTGCATTAGGTCGAATCACTAACCCTCAATCTGCTTGCTCGACCGGGCCAACTTGGTTTCTATTGAATAAAAACTGAAGGGACTAAAACTCCTTTCATTCTCGTATGTCATTTTGAATAATATAAGCATAGAGTGATAGAGATGGCAAAATCAACTCTGCCTGTTGGATCTGAACTAGCCCATCACGTGTTTGGACAAATCTTACTCGGCCCATTTCTTGACGAGACGGGTATTGGCCCAATTCATTCCACTTCATGCCAAGTCCGGATACCAAATCCACCTTTTTCCCATACCCAGCCCGACCCATCGCATATCCTCCATAGTCCTCCTCCCGCCCAAATTAGCACTCTCTAAAACATTATCGTTTGATTCACAGTTCATCGAGCCGAGTTCATATCCCCGTCTTCTTATTATCGATTAATCTCATTCAAATAGCATTTTTAACAGATTTAATAGGGAAATAATTGTCTCATTCTCCAATTTTTCTTCTCCGTAACTTTAAATCGACCTATTCAGCAGTTAATACCTCTTCCTTGTTGGCACCAGATCAACTCATCAACTTGTTGTTGCTAGACAGGTAATGCATCAATTCATTGCTTCTACATTTACCTTTTGAGAAAAAGGAATGATTTGTCTCTGGATTTTCAGCAATGTTCAAGAAGACGATGGGCGCCACCTAGGCGAGGAGGCACCGCCCAGTGCCCAGGCCGATTAGTCGTTGCCTAGGCGAGATTAAACGTCGAAAAGAAAATTGATAAATATGTAAGTTTAAAGTGCAAGATCAAACATAACATTCATAAGTTCACTAATTTGCAGTTCTGTAACTGACAATATTCAAGATAACAATCATTCAAGTTGTAACATAGAAGGAAACAAACATAATAAAATATGACAAATGTTAAGATAAGCCATAAAGGCGATGACAAGCTAATAAACTCCAAGTTGATCACTCATCATCTTCATCCATATAGTTCTTGTTAACCACAACATCCTCCTCATCCTCCTCGAAATGAATGGCCTCACTTTCCTCGTCATTTTCGTCTTCAGACTCAAACTCCTCATCGGCAAGGTCTCTCACTAATCTGGCACTCCTGCGAGGTTGAAGATTCTCACTAGCTCCACTTACCTCATCAATAAAATTTCATGGAATGCCATCGAAACCTTCATCATCTTCATCACCAAACACATGCAAAGTGTGACTATCTCCTCCCTCAAATAGAAAGCCTTTTGCTTCAATTGAATCAGAACTTATGAGAACATCAACATTCTTCCTCTCCTTTATCTTCCTTTGCTTGGACATCAATCTAGATTTGAACTGGATGTACACTAGTTGATTCATGCGACTTGTGGTAAGCCTATTCTTCTTCTTGGTATTAATCTGCAAGGACAATTGATTATACAAGCTTCCATCTAATATCTACTTTTACTATATAGCATATGAACACAAATTCAAAACTACTAACCGACTCAAAAGTACTCTAGTTTCGCTCACAAGCAGAGAACTTGAGGTCAATGACATAATCCTTATAGCCATCTTTTGCAAATGAGGTGTCTCACTTCCATACATTCTCCACCAAGCCACTAAGAAATTAATTAACTCAAAGTTAGTGAACGACACTAAATCATAAGTTACAAAGAAAGGTGGAAAGAAGTACTAACTAGGATTGTGGTCAAAGTTTACACAATTCTTTGCCATCTTTTTTCCAAAGAGTCCTTATTTCCTTTGAAATTTTGTGAACTCAATGTTCACCACCTCATCATATATATCCTCATCACAACCATGGTAGAATTGCTCAACACAAGTGATCAATGCTGTTGTAATGTCGGCATTATCAAATATTGAGGAGTCGGCATAACTGTAGTGAGGATTGAGAAGATATGCCGTTAGATGCAATGGAGCATCAAGTTTGCCTCTCATCTTCTTCTCCACAATAGCAATGACTTCTTTGTAACGAAGTTCTTCATTCTTAAACGCCTCTTTTATCTCTATCGTTGCCTTCAAAAGTTCACCATACACAAAACCCATAGAAGGTTTCACATCCCCATCCACTAATCGAAGAAGCTTCACCAATGGCTCAAAGACTTTCAAGCAAACTTCCACACCATTCCAAAACCTAACACTAAGAACCGTGTAATAAGCCTCCTTGCCCTTCTTTGAACTCGTCTCCTTAATATTTTCCCACTTCGCATCCACCACCATCTTCCTCAAAGACTGTTTCTTATCAAACAAGCTTTGTAGAGTAAGAAATTGAGAAGCAAATCGAGTCACACCTGGTCGGATGATCTCTCTCTTTTTGGTGAAGGATCTCATGCATTCCAAGGTGCGGTGGGGGCCATATATGAAGATGGTGAACCCCTTATCTTGATCTACAATTTTCTTGAACCTTGGTATGTTGTCGATTCCTTGGAGCATCAAATTGATGGTGTGGGTTGCACAAGAACTCCAAAATATGTTCGGCCTCTTCTCCAACAAGAGGGCCTTTGCTGCCATATTGTTGGAAGCATTGTCTGTCACCACTTGCACCACATGTTCAGCTCCAACTTCCTCGATTGCATTGTCCACTAGCTCAAAGATTACTTCACCTGTGTGAGAAATCCCTGATGTGTCCTTCGACTTTATAAAGCTGGTTCCCTCAGCACAATGTGTGACTATGTTCATGATGCTTCTCCTCTTCATGTCTGTCCAAGCATCAGTCATAATAGAGCAACCATTCTTTTCCTTCTCCACCTCTCGATCACTTAACAAGCTCTTAGTCCTTGCATACTCAGCTTTCAACAAAGGCTCTCGAAGCTCATATTGTGTAGGAGGCTTCAATCCAGGACCAAATTGACCAATAGCCTCAACCATTTGCTTGAACTCATCATTCTCAATGGAATTGAATGCAACAACTACAAAATAAATTCAGGAGTAAATTAGAAAAAAAATTGTGCATCTAAGAAAGAAGTAAAGGGTATAGCTATGCACTACCATGTGTGTACCCCCATTTTGCAATATATTGATGGACTTGAAGTGTCCTCTCATTAAAAAGTGCTTGATTTATCTTTTGTTGCTGAAATGATGCACTCGAAGACAAGCTAGGATCAATGGCACGTGCCACTTGTCTATAGGACCTAACTTGTGAGGTTCAGAGCTACCTACACAAGTAAGGCCTTCTTCCTGTTGTACACCGGAAGAGACATTAACATCACTTCTCAAACCTAGCTCACGAACAACCTTATCTTGCTTCTTCTTTTCTGTTCCTTCCAACCATTTCAAGCATGCCAATTTAGGTTCATCTGGGAAACTCTTACACTTGGCAACTCCACCACCAACCTGAGCAATGTGTTTCTTGAAACGGTTAATTCCTTCTGTGTTTACATTCTTGCAAAAGTTACATATGACTCTATCCTTGTTGTTTGGATCGACGAGCTTTCCATATTCCCAACCAATATCATCAGACTTCCTCTTCAAGGAGTTCGCATTTTCGACCGTTGAAGGCGTGACAGTAGCCTCTGTCTGCTCCATTTAACGAAAAACAAGCAGCCTCTGTAATCGCAAACACACATTTTCAGCAGCCTTTCAAATCATTAGAGACACACAGTTTAGTTAGCCTCTTGACACACAGTTTAATCAAGCAGCCCCTGTCAATTGCCAATTCTTATTCTCTTAATCAGTTCACTATGCTTCATTCCCATGAGGTCCAAATGCCAATTCTCCACAAAAGAATACTTGGCACACCATGAGGTCCAAATGCTTCCAATTCTCTTAATCAGTTCACTGTGCTTTTTTTTATCATCTAAAGCCTAAAGATGAAAAGAAGCTAGAGAATCAATCAAAAGAGAAAGAAGAAATCAGTACCTTCAATACTAAAGACCGACGGCGAGGACGAGTCACGACTGGCGATGCTGGAGACCGACGGCGAGGAAGAGGCGTGATTGGTAATGGTGGAGACTGACGGTGCAACTAACGACGACGCGCGATTCTGGAGACTGGCGGCGAGGACGTGGCGCAGCCGGCGACGAAGCCCCCTGCTGCAAACTTGCGATGCTGGAGAAGACGGCTGGAGAGGAGGGATGAAGGCGGTCGACTGTTGGAGAGAAGGTAGAGAGGTGACGAACTGAAGAGGATGGGTGGGACTGTGGGAGGGCTGCTGCTGAGCTGCTCGACTTGCCATTAGGGTTTTCCCCTTTTCGGCCCATCCAAAACGCACAGCTCCATCTTTTTTTTTTTTAGCGTCGCCCACAGCTTAGAATCGCCGATCCAAGCTAGTACTCGCCGCCTGGGCGTTCTTCAACGTGATTCCGTGTTTATTGCGCCCAACAACTTCGCCAAGGCTTCCTCTCCAAGTTTCCTCCTCGCCTAGCTACTAAACGCGCCTAGGCGAGCACCTAGGCGGTTGTTCTTGAACACTGGGATTTTGTAACCACAAAAGGTTTCCTCTTCTCTTTGTTTTAATGAATCTAAAGATGAGAAATCAGTTGCTTTATATTATCAAGGACTGAACAAGGTTTCCTCTTCTTCTTGTTTTAATGAATCTAAAGATGAGAAGTGTTCTCTATCTTTTGCTTTTTTTTTGGGTGAGGAAATCCCCTGGTCTCCAACATCATCAAGCTAAGTGTTATGTTTCACCTTACACATTGGAATTCATACAGAGGGTCCCTACTAGAATTGAAGGCTCAAAGGACTTTTGGGATTGGAACTTGGAAGTTCACCAAAGAAGAGAAGTTTTGTGTTAAGAGTTAAGACAGATTATCATGCTGGAGACAATGACAATTCTTTCCTCTAGAATTAAAAAAATTGAAAAAATGAGGAGAGCTAGAAACTGGAGTTCACTACATCTTCCATGCGAAAGTTCAAATTTCTCATCTCGTGATGCTTAAATAATAGGCCTAATACCAGAAAAGGGCCCATAGTTTAGAGTTTGGGTCACTTGTACCCCTAAGTTTTTACCGTGTCACTTATGTCCCAAAGTTTATAGTGCTCATGTCAATTTTGTCCTCCCTCATTTAGTTGACAGTTAGATTTGACGGTCAACATTTCGTTGACTTTGTGTCAACATATCTGCCATGTCATTGACACATAAGAAAATAATATTTTTTAAAATTTAATTAAAAATAAAAAATAAAAAATTCAGCTACTCCGCATTTTCTTTTTCTAGCCCAAATTAATAAATTCCAAATTTCAGCTACTCAGCAGCAACCCAGATTTCCCAGCCTTGGATTTCTCCTCTTCTTCCCTCAAAATTGCAGCTTTCGATTCATTCTCTTCCAATTTCTCCACTTTCTCCACTTTCTTCTTCTTCTTGCTACTACTACTGCTGCTCTTCTTCTTCTCCCCGGAACCAGGAAGACTCTGTTTCACCGCCGCCTTGCCGTTGCTTTCCGCGCCGCCGGGCAGGACATCGAAACTGGAGCTCGACCGGCGGTTGGTGGAGTTGAGCCTGGGAGAGATTTGGAGGACATCGACCACCGGGTAGCTCCACCAATCGTCCACCCTCCTAAACGCCCTGATTCCTCCCCTGTTTCTACAAGCTGCCTCTAGAGGCGAGGCGGCTGATCACTGCGGGTCGGGCCATGAGCAGGGGAGGTAGCCGGAGCGGATCAAAATAGGAGGCCGAATCTAGATTTCTGGGTAGAAGCTCGAAGCTCGAATCGGGAATGGGAAAATTGAAGATCGAAGGTCGAATCTCGTTCGTCGTCGATTCGAGCTCCGACTCCCTATTTCTCGTTCGCCGTCAATTCAAACATGCACGATAGGGAAATCGAGATGAGTAGAATTGGGTCGGATGGGGAGGATTCACATGGAAGATGGGGAAAACCAATTTGAGTACCGGATCTGGAATCCAATTTTGGTATGAGGTTCAATTGAATATGCTTCCATGGATTCCTTGTTTTTAGGTTTTCGTCTGAGGAAGACGATGGTACGAACATGAAGGAATGGGGGCAAACGACAAAATCCTATTTTGGAATTTTTATTTTATCAAATTTTTATTAAAGTATATAATTTTATTTTTAAGTACTAATTATTATTTACTTTATATTAGATGGTGTGGCAAAAAAAATCCACATCATATGCCACATCATCGGTAAAAATTTTGACTGTTGACTACTAACGGTTAAAGTTAACGGAAATTAAACTTTGGGACATAAGTGACACGGTAAAAACTTAGGGGTACAAGTGACCCAAACCCTAAACTATGGGCCCTTTTTTGGTATTAGGCCTAAATAATAATGTTGGTACAAAATCATGACTTTCGTGATTAAATATGCTCCCCAAAATGGACTGACTCAATTTGTCAAATCCCCGGTGATTCTCTTTTCCAATTCCTTTGATTTTATACGGATAGCACTTGGATTGCTATATTCTCATATCTCCCTACCCCCTCATTATATATTTTTATTTTATTCTGAGTTTTCTCTTTGAAAGACTATCTCCAACTCTCCAACCTCCTTTATTTAAGTTTTTCTTTCCTAAATATCTGAACCCTTATGAATAAATGTATTTTTAGGAATCATGCCTCAAAACTTCCTTGAGTGGAAATTTTAATTGTCGGAGAGACCTCCCAACGGCCTCTTCTTAATACCCAACTGGGAGAAACTCGTTCTCATACTTTTTCACCCAAGTATAATCCCTCAATGATGATGTCGTTCTTAAGCGATTCGCAGCTAGCTCTTGGTGATATATAATATTGTGGCCATTAACAACTATGAAACTTAAGAGTTTATGATGGACAAGCTAATAAAATCTTGTCTTCTAACCATGATAAAGTTGAAGTTAATTATGGTTCTTTGGAAGATCTTAAGTTAGCTCAAGGGTACACATCCGGATGTACTGTCCAATCGAATTATCATGTTCTCGTTCATTCTATCACAAGTGTCACATCTAGGTGGTCTTGACTATGTGCGGCTTGGATTGGTTCAATATAGTGTATATATTCTCAAGATAAACCTTCAAATAAGATTGAAAATATTTCACAAAGGATCAAAAATAGGGTTTATTAGGTTGCTTGTTATTCTTTAGATTGACCATTTCTCCCAAATAACTGGATCAATATATAGTTTAGATTTTATTTCTGATTTTATTTCTTGGTCCTTTATGTAACTCTTTTCATGGTGGAATAAAGTCGATCTTACTCGGGGGAAAAGCTTGTCCTTGTTATGTTTAACCCTCATACTTTTCATGGTAGAAATGGCGAGTTTGTAGTTCGGAAAGCATACCGCATCTGGGTTGAGCAGGAAAATGAACGCCAAGGAGAAGTTGTGGCGGATGCAACTCCGGTTTGGAAGAAGATTTGGCAGATGAACGTCCCTCCAAAAGTCGGACATTTCATGTGGTGCTTTTCAAAGGACTCGCTCCCAGCTGGAGTGAAAGTGAGTGCCCATAATCCCAGGTGGAGCAATCGGTGCCCATTTTGCGACATGCTCGAGACCCAGGCACATACGCTGGGGGATTGCGCTTGGGAAGAAGAATTTGGTGCTCTTCTACTACGCGGGCCTGTTTCGAGAAGAAGGTAAGTGATGATTGTCTGGCCTGGCTTGAGGCAGTGATAGAGGGAGTGGAGCAAAATCTGCTGGAGCATTGGAGGGTCCTTCTATACTATATTTGGAGAGAATGCAATGCCCATTTGTTTAAAGGCTACAAGCTGGAGGAGCTGGAAATCGCCTCCGCTGCAGCCACAATGCTAGTTGAGTACCAGACGAGACAAGAGAAGGAGCTTAGTATTCAGATTGTGGCCCCTGTGAAGCATTGGATCGCACCCCCAAATGGTAGAGTAAAGATTAATTCGGATGCGGGCATACTACCAGGAGGAGGAGCAGGGCTTGGTGTAGTAGCGAGAGATGCAATAGGGTGTTTTCTTTTTGCAGCAGCAAAGAAAGTAACAGGTATTTAAGACCCTGAGGATGTCGAAGCTTTGGCAGTCGAGCTTGGTGTGCAGATGACAGCTCAACTAAACCTCATGAACCCGATGCTAGAGGTGGATTGCTTGAATCTTGTGACAAATATCACTCAGGCCGAGAGCATTAGACCGGAGAAGGGAGTTGTTTGTCGGAATATCCGGAGGTTGCTTGGTCAATTGGGCGAAGTTACGTGGCAATATGCTCCGAGGGAAGCAAACGCTGCAGCGCATATAATGGCGCATGTGGAGACTATTTGGAACGAAAGATCTGTGTGGATTGATAGGCCTCCCATCATTTTATTATATCAGCTAAAGTTGGACAGTGTAACCCCCTCTGCTGATTAATGGAAGTTTTACAGGTTCCCAGTAAAAAAAAAACTCTCATCCTTTTATTTTAAAGCATCTCTTACCAGCAAAATAATAATAATAATAATAATAATAATAATAATAATAATAATTAGTAGGTGATAGTTAGGGATGGCAATTACCCACCCATGGGTAATTATACCCAAACCCAAGTACACCCATTGATAATGGGTTGGGTATGGGTGAAGTGCATATGGGTGTGGGGGGTTTGTAGATGGGTTTGGGTAAGGCATGAATATTGCTTCCATAATCTAAATGAGTATGGGTTGGATATGGATATCCATTTACTTGAGGGGGTTTTAACTACACATGCAAAAATTGGACCTATTTGTAAAACTAGGGCTGGCATTTCGGTTGCCGGTTAGCGGGTAACTGTCGGTTACAACCGAAAACCGAACGGTTACAAGCTAACCGATAACCGACCGGTTACCTTGGCGGTCGGTGGTCGGCTGGGAAAGGAAAGGGGTCGGTTGACCGAGTAACCGACGGTGATTAACCGCGGTTATCCGACAAACCGACCCCAACCGAGACCCACTTAACCTTCCCCAAAATCTGCCTATCATCTCCACCTCCACTCTCCTCCTCATACCCTAGATCTCAAAAAAACTCTCCCCCTTCGTCCACCTCGCCTCCGCCGCCGCGTTGCCGTCCTTCTCGCCTCCGCGTCGTCGTCCACCTCGCCGCTGCGTCGCCGTCCGCGTCGCCTCTGCCACCTCGACTCTAGCTGCACCTCGCGCTCGGCCCTGTTGAATGCAGTGGAGGAGATGAGGGCGGAGCCGTCGCAGCCGTTAGCGAAGCAATCGTGGAAGTAGAGGCCCAGGGTTCCGGCGGCGGTGGTGGAGCTCTTGATTTGCTCGTCGGAGACTGCTGCTAGGTAGAAGAAGATGGAGGAGAGGAAAACGAGCAGCGACGTCGGCCGCGGTGGTGGTGTAGCCATGGTTGGAGTTTCGTGATGGGTCTGTCTTTGATGGGTTTTGTGTGGTTTGGCTATGGCAGAAGGAAGGAGTGTGGTTTGGCTATGGCAGAAGGAAGGAGTGGAGATAAGGTTTGAGTGGTGGGGTTTGAATGGGAAAGGAAGGAGAGAGAAGGAGGCAGGAGATAAGGTTTGAGTGGTGGGGTTTTTTTGTGTTTTTTTAATAGTTTTAATAAAAAAAAAATTGTGAGAAGGGAGTGCACGGTCGGTGGTCGGCTAGCCGTAATGTCTCTCACGGTTGGTGATCGGCAGTAGAGGGTGGTGGCTCGGTTTAACCGATAACCGAGAATTCGGTTTTTGGTTAAACCGAAACCGACCGACTGACACCCCTAGTACAAACCCATCAAACTCTACCCATATCCATCTATTTGGATTTCATACCCAACCCAATTGGGTTGGATAGTTAAAAACCCATGAATATGGACAAAATTGTCATCCCTAGTGATAGTTGCAATTTCTATATAATTGAACAAATACCTCATTTTTTTATTAACATACTAACGTATTGAAGTAGTAAATCATTACAATTGCATCGAAATCGTACAATATCAAACAATAATAACAGGTGAACCAAAACCAAACACTATATTCATAAGCATTCATATGAGATTTGACATAAAACCAGTCGTTCATTTATACCGATAGAAAATATGATTTGCTGGATCGTAGACTAAAACATCAAGGCCGCACCTTTTAGCATATAGAATCCAGCTTTTCCTATAAAAAATTCATGCATAGACAATAAAACCCATTAAGGGCGCCGCCGATTGGGATTAGAACTTGAGAACAATACACCTTTCCGTACACTTGAACTTGTACGCCGTACGTTGCAAATTATTCCGACCAGATGGGCACTCCAAAGATTATACGTACGTAGTTTAGCTCTTATGTCTTGGGGATAGTCGCTGGTGGGTTGGGATCGTAATTACCGTCGTGCGTATAATCGTCCAAAGCTGCGTAACCCGGCGGGTACCTTGTCGTCCCACCGTTTGCTGCTTGCCCGTCGACGGCAGGAAGAACAGTTGTGTAGGCGGCCTTCGTCGCCTCTTTCTGCACTAGTTTCCTGGCCGAGATGCAGGGTGGGAATGCGATGACGGCGTGGAGAACGATGATGATGAGGAGCGTAATCAACAGAAACCTGCGAAAAGGAAAGCGTGACCACGTCATTTTGGCGACCATCCTCTTTTGTTTTTTTCAACTATTGATTGATGTTTCTTTTGGCTTGTTTTTCTGTGGGGGGCTTGTGAAGCACAATATTACAAGCACATGGATCAAATCCTTTTTTACCCCTCGGTTTCTTTTTGCTCTTTCTTTTTAATGTTTCATAAGAAAATGTAGGGATTACCATCATCACTTCTTTCATATCTTCTCTATAATTATTGATCTCTTTCAGCTATATTAAAACATTAAATAAATTGTATCCTTTCTCTTTAATTTTTCCAGAAAATTGAAAGATCAAACACAGTTAGAAAGTTTATCCTCAAGAAGAGTAGAATGAATCAAGTCAGTTGATCAGGACGTTAGGGGACCATATATATCAAGTCCTACTGTGGAGGGAGGAAATGCATCAGATGAAATGCCTACCGTGTTTTAGCCGGTATTAAGACAGACAGGCTGGCAGGGTTAGCAACAAATTAAATAGACCCAAGCAGAGAAAATGGCCGGCGGCGGCTTCCCTTCCATTCCACAGGAAATGGAATGGAGGGCCAGAGGGGGGATTAGCAGCTGGCTCGATGGTGATAGTGGACTTACGACGGGAAGACTTAGAGTGACCTTTTCTAATATTGGTCCTTTTATGTCCCGCCAAATTAAATGCTGTTGACGCTGACACTAAAGTCATCGTTGAATTTTCTTAACGACCAAATGTAATAATGTTCTATCTATTTTACAATTTGTTGATTTTTCACCAATTTCAACGGGTTAATTGCAAGGTTGGTCACTGATATTATAAAAAAGGTTCACGTTTGGTCACTAAAAATATTTATTTTCATTCGTAATCACTGAAATTAGTTTAACAATCCAAATTTAGTCACTCTCCATTAGTCTCTGTTAACTTCCGTTAATTGAGTCTGTTATTTGCTGACGTGGCTAACAGAAACGCCTAGTCAGCCTAATTTAATCTGAAAAAATGTAAAACCAACTCGCCATGTCATCAAAACCCGCCATGTCAGATTGAGACAACCCAACCTGTTACCCAATCCTTCCCACCCAGCGACCCGACCCTCTAATCTACATCTACCAGCCATTCCTTCTCCTTTACCAAAAAAGAATCACTCTAAAGCAAGATCGACAATGAACCGAATTGCTGCAATTAAACCTAATAAACTACTCCAAAATCAAACACTCACTAAGAAGTTGATGATGGAAATCAATATCATCTGAAGCGAAGGCATTGACAAACACCCAATGCCAATTTTCACCAACCCAAAACAGAATTACAATTCATCTATTTTTCTCTTTCGAATCCTATCAATCGAGAGAAACCCCACACATCCAAAGCATTTCAACAGCATATGAGGAATGTAATGGCAAACAAATCGTGAAATGGCCTCAAAGCTCGAAGGGATCGAGAAATCACCCTTAACATACCAGAATAGAAGAAGAGGAAAAATGAATAGAGGGGAGAAACGAAATGGAGATCTCTAGGATGGGTGATTTCCAGCGGCGACTTCTTCCTAAACCCAGCACTACTAATTGATTTTCGGCTGCTTCATCTGTGACTGCTGCTGATTTCTCGTTCTATGTTCGTTGTTCTTGTTTGTCGACGTGCTTCATCTACGGCTGCTTTTGGGTTCGATTGCTGGATTCTGGGTTCGATTGAAGCAACGATGGTTGGGTCGCCCTCCTCGAGTCGAGCGGATCTGCTCCGCCGTGAGCCTTCTTCCTTCTCCTCTATTGGTTCTATTTCTGGATGACGACGGTAGCGGATATCTATGGAGGGAGCCGACAAGTTAGCTCGATTTTTAGAGATGAAAATGGGAGGAAGAAGATCTGAAAACTTTGGCATCTGTGAACTTCTCTCAGATTTTTCCAAATCAAAGCACTACTCCTTCATCTTTCCCATCTTTGTTCAAGCTTTCGTTAATTGCCCGCGGCCTGTCCGAATCCAAATCAAGCAGCGAGTTCGGCAAGAACAGATCAAGGTAGGAGCAGATAAATACCCGGTGTCATACCGAATTCAGCGACGAGTTCGGTTGGAGCAGACAAACCAGACTGCATCGATTTATGGGCTCGCATCAGGATGGGAGAGGGTGAAAGGAAGAGGGGCTCGAGAGACGATGGTGATGGGACTTGGCGGTGGTGGTGGAGTCGGTAGGGTTGCTTCGATGGGTTTGCTGGGGAGGGAAGGGATATAGAAGACGAAACGCAGATAGAGAGAAAGAGGAGAAGAGGTAGAGAGGGTTGGTTCACTGGTTAGGTCACGGGTCGGGTTATGGTTAAATGACGTGGCGGGTCGGGTTCAATTTTTTTGGATTAAATTGCGCTGACTATGCAATTCTGTCAGCCACATCAGCAACTAACGGACTCAATTTAATGGAGTTGATGGAGACTAACGGAGGTGACTAAACTTGAACTGTTAAACTAATTTTAGTGACTACGAATGAAATTAAATATTTTTAGTGACTAAACGTGAACCTTTTTAGCAATCCCAGTGACCAATTTTGCAATTTACCCCAATTTCAACACATACTTTTCTATGTGTAGTTTGGAACATTGAAGATTGTCAACATTTAGTAACCAATACTTTTGATTTTTTATAAGCAACCAATTTTATTAGTATTTTAGCTTCCAAAATGTTGCTGGTCATAAATACTAATTTCTTGCAACCAATTTTGGTTTGGTTATAAAATATTTTGGCTTTGTTGTAGTGATTAAGTTAGGTATATCGGTGATATAAAATTCACAAAAATTATTTGCAACCTTCACTGAAAACCATCGCTAGCTTGTGTTCATTCATAGAATATTAATTGTTCCAGATATACAGATTGTAGAATGGATTATATGTTAGTGAAATATATACAGATTGATCTGGGATCCAAATATCCAATTATATCTATTTAAACTCATATACAGTTTGGTTCTCCGAGTAAAATTTAAATGTCGAACTAATTGTAAATATGTGACTCACAACACGTTGAACCAATTTTTGCGGTGAAGAGTTTTCGTCTTTCTGTGTGTGCTTTTTTGTGGTTTGTTAAGAGCAGGGCGGAGATCGAAAGAGTGGCCATACATTATTAGATTAGAATTATTAAAGCACAAGCAGCCAAAAAATACCAAATATCGAAAAGTACTGTTCATTACGAAATGATCGCGTGGTTACTGTTCACGAGTAGGGTGCGAGATTTCCTGCGGTCTAATACACGTGAGCTCATGTGTACTTTATGTTGGGCGGGCCAAACTTGACTGTAGATGGGATGTTTAGTTTTTAAAAGCATGAGCTCACAATGGGCCGCATGCACCTGATACTCTCTCCTTCATCAAATTTCCTCCTCTCTCTCCTCCTTCCACCCACCCCTGTTCTCTCCTCTCCCGTACGAAAATCCTATCCTCCTCTTCCCTCTTTCCGTCAGCCCCCTCTTCCCTCATCCATTCCAATCGAAGAAAGAGCAACGGCAGCGGCACGCATTCGAACAACGGCAGCGGCGACATATACTCTACCACTTCTCCTCCGCTCAGGCGAAAAAACACACCGACGAACTATACCCAATCTCCCCTCTCTCACCCGGTGAACAATGGAACGCCGGTGGGAGACGGCGGCTGCGCCAGATTTCCCCTCTCTCACGGGGAACCATTGATTGCTTGATCAGGTAAGTCCACAACCAGATTTCCCCTCTCTCTCTCCTCCCTGAACCCGTTGAATGGCACGCCGGTGGGAGACGGTGGGGACACCAGATTTTCCATCTCTCTCACGCTGCACGAATCCGTTGAATGATACCCAATTTTTCTATCACCTCCGCGAATCCGTTGAATGGCTCGCCAGCAGGATATGGTGGCGACGCCAGAATTTCCCATCTCCGGGGACCATTGATTGCTAGGTTAGGTGAGTCAACAACCGATTAGCCTCTCTCTCACCTCCTTGAACCCACTGAATGGCACGCTGGCGGGAGACGATGGCGATGCCATTATAGGATACAGAGTGTTCTTAGCTCTACTCTTGCAAACCATTTATCAAGTTGAGGTCAACATTAGGAGTCAAAGGCGATTCAGTCATACTACCCTGTACTTTTCTTTTCTCTGCCAATGGAGCAAAATACATTACCTTGCCCTTTCCTTCTTCCAATACTCCTTCAAGAATGAGGTTTTGGAGACCTCAGATTTCTCATCTCTCTCAAGGGACAGTGGGACACCTTTAATTGCTAAGGTTGAGTGAGCCAACACCTTGGATTAATTTTCTTTTCTTCTCCGCTTAATGGATGGTGTTAATTTTAGACACCTCCGGCGCAATGAGTACTAGAGAGAGTGAGTCTGAGTGAGAGGTAAGGAGAGAGTCGTGGCTGCAGCAAGACTGAGTGACGTTTGCGGCTAGCTCATATGGGATCGAAGCTGGTCACTGTAAGAAGAGAAACATTTGGCAAGGTTTGATGGGTCGACAGTTTATCATCTCAAATATGAGTTCACACAAGTCATTGCAAAGTGTCATCTCGAATATTGGTCAACAAGATCTACCAGCTGCAGAAGATGAAGTTTTCTACTAGGCTAGGCATCCCAAGCTCTACAGGTGAGATATGTTTCTCTCCTATCATTGTTGTATGTGAAATCTTGATAACACTCTAAGTTTGATCATTAATCAGAAAATATTAGTTAATTTTACTCCATATGAATGTAGTTCAGCAGAGTTCCATGTTAGGGAAGGTGCTACCAGAGCTAAAAGTGAGAATCCAAAGGATTTTTTACGGGTTAAAGACACATTTGGTCACTGAGATTACAAAATCGGGACATGTTTAGTCACTAGAAAAAGTTAATATCAAATTTGGTCACTACAATTACTAAAACTGGACACATTTAGTCACTCGCCGTTAGTCTCCGTCCAACTCCGTTAATGAAGTCCGTTAAGTGCTGATGTGGCAAACAGAATTGCCTAATCAGCCGGATATAACCCAACAAAAATAAAACCCGACCCGCCACGTCATTAAAACCAACCCAACCCAACCCAACCCATGACCCAACCCCACCCAACTCTTCTTCCTCCTTCCTCCCACTTCACACAGATCCATCCATTTCTCAAACAATCTCCATTGATGCCTCGCCCACCTCCTCCATTCCCCTTCCTCTTTCTCATTCTATCTACCGCCGCCGCAGAAATATTCATCCAGATATGGAATCCACGACGGAAGGCATTTCCAAGCTCGGCATCAATGGCGATTTCGCGTCCTCCGTCCCTAATCTGCACAAGAACCTCTCGCTTCTGTCACCTGACCAGGTGAGAATCTTCGGCAGACTCTGTTTCTTTACTGCGTTGGCTGGTTCTTGCTCTCATTTCTATCAATCGAAAATGCGATTTGATTTTCTCTTCTACCAATTCACCACGATATTTGTGGTTTAATGCTGTGGAAATGGTGGTTGCCGGATCCTAGATTGAGTTGGCGAAAATGCTTGTAGAGATTGGGTGGGAGGGGAGAGGAGGAGGAGGATGGAGTGAGGGGAAGCGCATTTGAGAGTGAAGGCGGGGTGGCCGCAGCCAGGGGAGGAGGAGAATGGGTACGGCGGCGGCGACGGGAATGGCGGGCAGGGAGTGCAATGTTGGGAGTTGCAGGAGTGAGATGCTGCTGCCGCGGCGGCGGTAGATAGAATGAGAAAGAGGAAGGGGAATGGAGGAGGTGGGCGAGGCATCAATGGAGATTGTTTGAGAAATGGATGGATCTGTGTGAAGTGGGAGGAAGGAGGAAGAAGGGTTGGGTGGGGTTGGGTCATGGGTTGGGTTGGGTTGGGTTGGTTTTAATGACGTGGCGGGTTATAATGACGTGGTGGGTCGGATTTTATTTTTGTTGGGTTATATCCGGTTGATTTGGCAATTCTGTTTGCCACCTCAGCACTTAACGGACTTCATTAACGGAGTTGGACGGAGACTAACGGCGAGTGACTAAATGCGTCCAGTTTTAGTAATTGTAGTGACCAAATTTGATATTAACTTTTTCTAGTGACTAAACATGTCCCGATTTTGTAATCTCAGTGACCAAATGTGTCTTTAACCCGATTTTTTACTCAAGGAGCAACTGTCATTATGCAGAATAGAGCAAGAGCTTGAACAGTTACAGGCTAGGAAGAAGGGCCCTTTTGCTCTCCCCTCCCCAATAGTTTCAGTTCATGATTCTTACTTCTGACGTTGAAATTGTGCTATCTTATGATCATAGACTTTTACTGCAGTGGTAGACCCGAATTTTTCAGTTAGCGGCTGATGCATCATGCATGCCTCATTTTTCTTAGTTCAGGTTATGTTGATAGATTAGAGCATCTCTATTGGAGCCATTGTTTTCTTTGGTCCTGTATGTGTGATCAGCTTGGTATATTACTTTCCCTATGATTAATTCCTCTTCAAAATAGTTAGTTTTTATTTTTCAGCGTTGTAATGCAAATCTGGATATTGTTGTAGGTTTGTACAAGTGAGTGACCATATGATATTGCATCAGAGAGGAGGTTGGTAGAACTGGGGGAGTTGTCGATCTCTTGAGATTACCAAAACCAGTTGATTTTGTCTTTTGATGAGTTTTACAAAGGCATATAAGGAGAAGAATAGTTATGTGGTTGTTAGGGGTTGCAGAGTGTTGTTTTTGGGTAAAGTAGTACAAATTTTTAGTTCAAAAATTTATGCAGTAACTCGATTAAACTGCATAATTATGATAGTCGCCACTGTTATAATAGGTCAGAATAGTTTTGGACATTATCTTCATTTATAGGAGATATTGTTCTTTGATTGCATATTAGTGATTCAACGTATGTTACTTCTTCTGTGGGCAAACTTTACTAGGAGAACAGGAGTGGGAAAGCTATGCTCTCGATTTTCTTTGTAATTGAGAGATTATTAGTTCTAGGATGGAAAATTCTATGATTGAATATGAAAATATGCTTATAGTAATGCATGTATGGGTTTGATTTACTTATAGTAATGGCCTTATTCTCTCAATCCAAATGCAGATCAGCTGAAAGTATCCAACAATTGAAGGATATGGCGACTTAGGCCTGAGGGCCAGGTTTTGCCTCCTTAGTCCTTAGTTTCAACTTTCAAGTGCATGTCTGTCTACAACAATTTTGTTGTTTCCTTATGTACGTACTATAACCTTATACATATCTTTCCCTTAAACCAGCAAGCAGCAACACTACCTTTTGGACATCTAACGCTAACATAATTGTTATTAAAGCAAATCTCACGCTAACATAATTGTTATTTTGCTTTAAGTACTTTGATTATCCATAATATTAATGTTAATAACTCTCTGGGGTGTGATTCCTTGGTTTCATTATACTAAGAATGACTATGGTGTAAAATATTGAAACCTCCAACGTATTGACGTAAGGGTACCCGTTGCGAAGCACGGGCTACAATACTAGTAATTTAGTACTATGTGAGTTGCAGTTTCTTTTGGAGAGGCACTATGGCCTTAGCTTAGGATGAGCGAATGTATTAGCTACTGATCCTTGTTTCAGTTTTCGCTAAATATATTTCAGCATTAGCAACAACAACAAAAATGCTACACTTTTCCGTTTTCACAAATACTTTTACCTTCACGTCGTGCATGCGTGTTTATCGAAAAAAATAACAGAACGAGTTACTGATGCCACGATTGAATCAAGTAGAAACATATTAGTAAAAATCAATTTATTATCCATATAGTACTCGTGTTCGTACTAAATATGTTCTAAACTCCCGTTCCATATTATTGTATACCTAATAATTTTCTTTGTTTCTTTAACGCTTGACGTACAAAACACGTATATTAAGTTTAATACATGTATTTTAACTTTAACTTTAATTTTGTTTCCTACTTATAATGCTTAACTTTTAGAGATATTATTAACTTAACATAAGGTATAGAACTTCTTATTTATGTATTGATATGGCAACTTATATACCTGCCTCATATTTTACTAACCCTGACCAGGAGAAGGAAAGGCTAGGACATGCAAGTGTGGAACTAGGAATGACAATCAAACCCATGACTGCGGGTACCTGATCGTCTTCGACCTACTCAACGCGGGAAATCGCTGCATTGACTTGGTATGGGCGGGGCGGTTATGGGTAAAACCCGCAAAAGTTTGATGGGTATGAGACTGGTATGGTTTTAGCGTCCTTCGTCTCATAATGATAGCAAAAGTAACTCAAGAAAATAAAAAGTAGAAATGCAATTGAATGACTAACCAAATCAAAATCTAATTTCTTTTCCTCAACTCTCCCTTCGCTCTTTCACTTTTTCTCTCGTGTTAGCAAGATTATGTTAGCTAGTTAGTTATTACTTAGCAGATGTATCAGATTCAGAGAATAATCATTTAGATTACATGTAATATATCTTATAGATTAATGGATATTTTAGAATAAGATGCTTTGATCGTATTAATAATAATTGTATCTTTTTTGACTTCATGATATAGTAGGTGTGTTGAATATTGTAATAGAAAATTTACATGTAAAATTTTAGTTATTATAATGTTAGATGGGCGAGGCGGGTATTACCTATGGGTACCCGAAACCCACAAGTATGAGAGTGGGTTTCAAAAATCTTTCCCACATGGGTATGGAGAGCGGGGATGGAGATGGTTTAGCCAAACCTGCCCCATTGTCATCCTATGTGTTGAGACATACGTACACCTCAAATCGAGTTTATTTTAGTGTCACAATTCTCTTTTTGACAGTATTTGTAGAAACCTCTTTCCTATTAATTGTACAAATCATCGATCCTAAGTCTCGTCGTTATTCAATTCATCATATAATATATATATATTTCAAACAAAGAGACTCGTCTGACTGTATTGTAATATGTTTTTTTTTATAATGACGGTAATATGTTTGCTACATATAATTAAAATCAAAATGTTATTAATTAGACATCCATACAAGACCATTCTTAATAACACTTAGCAATAGCATCCGCATGTCGAATACTCAATCATAGACAATGCACAAAATTAACAACACACTACTTTTTTAACGTAATATCGTCAATATCATACTAGTCCACGATGAGATTATCTCGCTCTCAGCTTTATGATCATACTTTTCGTTAACCTTGTACACAAGCCTACAGCCTGAGTATATATGGGTTTGACACAGCAAACCCTAAACAAACAAATACACATCGGTACCTAATCTTTATATAATCAACACCGTACACTTTAACAAGACAACGGGCGGCCCCACATATACGCCGACACAAATAATTCCTGCGGAGAATCCATAGACACATACGTACGTATATAGATATGTAGGCTGTAGGTATTTCAGCTTTATCTTAATTCTTAGGGGGGCTGTATCCGCCGCCGGGATTATACCCACCCTTAGACGGTGAACTGGGGTATGGTTTCATTGGTTTGGGTAATGGTTCGGGGTAATCACCATCATTGTCAGTCTGGTAGGAGTCCTGAGTCATCGCCGTCGCCGGCGACATTTGGACAGTCTTCTGCTGGGTCGTCGTCGGAGACTTATCACCGTTGGCTGAGCCATCACCCTGATAATTGTGGTCTCCATAGCCTAATTTCCAACAATATAATTTTGAGCTAATACCACTACAACACCCGAACTATGAACAAAATGTCACTTGTGTCCTATTCTTTTCAATATTCCATTTATATCCTAAACTATTATTTCGTTACTGTTGACCAGTGTTGACCGTTATCTTTTAACAGAAAATCCAGCCAGTGCCAATGTGGCATCTGACATGAAATTTTTAATTCCAATTTTATTCAAAATGAAATAAAAAATAACAAAAATGGAAAATTCCTTCACTTTCCCATTTCGATGATTTCCTATCTCCCTCTGCTTCTCTCTTCGATTCGTCTCTCACAACAAGAATCAATCTGTCGGGAAAGAATCGCCATTCGCCACCACCACCTTTCATCTGGCTCCGCATATAACGTCTTCCCATCAATGGCGAGTACATCATTCCATCAATGGCGAGATTAGTGTGCGATCCCACTGTTTCCACGAGGTTGGATTCAAGATCTCCAAGCTCCACTTCGATGGCGGATCCGACGACGCTGAGGGATGCAACGATTCTGAAACCTTCTCGTCGACTTTCCTCTTCTGTCTCTTCATCATCCACGCCGCAGTGGCCGGCGATTGATGCACGTCTGTATGTTCTCCATCCTTCGTCGTCATCGTTCTCCAGATCTCTCGTTGCTCCAGATCTACTCCAGACCTTTCAATCTCTTTGCTATCATCATTGGGTCTCACCGTCGTGCTCCAGCAATCATCTATGATTTATTCATAAGATGGACTCTCCTCCTCACCCGCCGCCATACAATCTAAAGTCGATTCACTTACCATGATTCTCAGCAGATTACCATAAAGGCCACCGTCGAGATCGAGAGCCACCTATGCTTCCTTTGTCGCATCTGCGGCCGTCGCTTGCGCTAGTTGAGTTTCTAGAAATGCCTCTCCTTCACAAATTTCTGGGAATCGGCGAAATGCAAAGTATCCCGCTCCTTTTTTTGATCGATTAGGAGTTGTTGCTATTGGATTAGTATTCCGCTTGGTGCGGATGTATGAATCGGAATCGACTTCAAAGTTAGATGTGTGTTGTTCGGAATCAGGGGAATTGACGACAGCTACCCAACTTTGCAGTTCCGCTAAATGAGAAATTGTATTAGAGGAACAAGGCAAGCTAAATTATTGGGTGGAATCGTTTCTCACTAGAAGTAGAAGATGATGAACTTCGAATTCTTCATGTTGCAGACTCTAAATCTGACTTGAATTTTGGGTTTTTTAAAATATTGTTTTGTAATATTCTTGAAATTAAAACTTTTTATTTCAAAATTTAATTTTAATACAATTTTGAATTAAAAATGATGTGGCAATGACATGACACCTATGTGGATGTTACATTTTTGCCACATAAGCAAAAGTCAACAATAGTTTGACCTCTGTCAGGTCAAACCGCATTTTCTAACGGTCAACGAAATTGCAGAATACAAATGACACAAAAGTATGATACGATGGGATAGGAATGGAATATTGAAAAGAATAGCACACAAGTGTCATTTTGTTCATAATTCGCGTGTTGTAGTGGTATTAGCCCTATAATTTTAAATTCACGATTGTCGGGCACGCACAAAAACAATTATTATTAATATTTTTGTTTTGTAGAGCATGCTACGTACTGCCAATAATAAATTAGCAAAGCTGCATATCTCATTCTCAAATCTCAATGAAAACAAGTACGAGAATAATTACCGCTAGCTGTAGCGGCCGGGACCGGAACCGCCGGGGAGTATTCTTCCTGCAGCATTGTCCTGGCGTTGATGGCGCCTTGGAGAAGGAGGAGGGCAATCAACAGAGTCAGAAAGCGGTGAGAAGGAGAGCACAACAAAGTCGTCGTTTAGGTCACCATTGTTTGTGGGAGTAGCTAGCTAGCTAGGCAAATTAATTAAGTTAGGGAAATCAATAGAGTAGTTGCCTCAATGAAACATACATAGGACCGGCCACCGGGGGAGGTTAGGGTTAGACTCCTGCCCGGATTTATCCATCATGTTACTTCATGAGTCCAGTTGCATACGGACTATTGTTTTTTATGATTGTCAGTTTTTTATTGTTGTTGTCCGACGATGTCCTCATAACTTATCTTGGATAAAAAAAATCACACCATTTTCTTTGTGTGTTTTTTTAGTTCTCCAACTATTAGCTAGGTCATATTACTTTTAGTACAATAATATCATTTTATCGTCTTTCGTGAAGATTTCAATAAGCCTCATACTAATGAAAATTCGGACATATTTTACTAATTTAAAATATGATGAGCAAAATATTTTTTTGATGTATAGACAATAAATCTTAGAGATTTTTATTTAAACCGTGCTTGATTGATCGATGTTGAACTGTGGAAATCATTATTCAAGATATCAGGTAAGTATAACTAGCTAGCTATGTTTTTTAAATAAAAATTACGAAACTTCTAATTAAGTGGCGATTTAAGAACCATGATATACGAGCAACTAATAAGATATGAACGAAAGAATTTGCAAGTTTGGTTTGTCAAATGCAGACGAAGCATGCGAGAGTTCAACTATAATTCATATATTGATATGAATGAACCATTATTATCTGGCAGGTCCCTATTTCGCTTTTACCTCCCTTTGTTTTATGTGCTGCATTTGTTTTCATTTTTGGAATCTGAGACTATCTTATATTCCTTACTTTTCTTATTTTTTCAACAAACAAAATATCCATCATGACAGTTTTAAAAATTCGTTTTTCATTCATCAAATTTCATCACTATTATTATTTTGTGTATATGAAATATTGTCAATAACCAGTTCATCTCAATAACTCGAGTTGTTTGGAGAGATTCAATTCTGGATCATAGCCCATATATGGTGGATTTTGTTTGAAGGGATGTGTTAGAATGTGGTATATGATCCATAATTGAATCTCTCCCAACAACTCGAATTATTAGGACTAACTGGTTCTTGACGGTACCATCATCATAGCTATGAACAGTGGCGTACCCAGAAACTTTTCATAGGGGTGTCCTCTTTTAAAAAATAAATTAAATAAAAATAAAAATAATTGATAAAAATAAAATTGTAAATATGAAAATACCTTACTCGTATAGGTTAAAAAAGTCCATGATATGTTTTCATATTCGAAAATAATTGTAGAATACACTTGGTGTCTATAGTGTTAAAAAAATTGTCTCTATATACACTGCTAGCTAGACAATCATTCACGAACTTATCGCATATTCGATTTGTAAACCCGTTCTTGATGTAACCCAAAGTTGAAAGACTCTTTCAACACTTGTCGTACAATCATAAAATCAATACAAATTAAGGGTAGTTTGAAATTAGTTTAATTGTTAGGTTTTTAAAATAATTAGAGATAGGGAATGCCATTTTACTATTACACATTGTTCAAAATCTATCAACAAATGAGTTTAGCTCAACAGAAATTAAGTTTATTAATAATAATAGTGTTCTAGATTTGAATTATCCAACCTACCACTTATATTCCTATACACAAATGACAGTAGGATAATCATTTTTTCAAATTTAAGAGGTGTCCCTCACTATCAATTTTTTTTTTTTGTTCATACGTAAATTACCACCGGGGGTTGGATAATCGTTTTCCCAAAATTTAGGGATGTCCGGGAACACCCGTAAACCCCCTGGGTTCGCCCCTGGCTACGAATCATGTTGAATTGGTCAGAACAAATAGCTAGTGACTACTGACTAGTAGTGGGTAGAATTGATGTGGGAACTTCTTTGGCAAAAATTCCAAAAGGGACACGTACTGAGTTTCTCCACAAAAGTACGGGTTCGTTTGAAAGTTGTGATTGTTAAATAGATGTATTGTTGAGAATGCATGTATAATATTATACATGTATTTTCGAATTTGATGCATTGTAGAATACAACGTTTGGTATGTGTGATTGTGTATGTCGCATCAGTTAAAAGCTGAGACAAAACAATCTCAACAATCACAACTAAAAGTTGAGATATAACAATCACTCAAAATAAGTGATAGTTTCTGTCACATCACAGAAACAATCCATGTATTGTTTCTGCTAAGAAAACAAAAAAAACGATGCATTGTAAACAATACATGCATAATGACAATCTCAACAAAACTATCGCAACTTCCAAACGACCCCTACAATTAGGGCTGGAAGTTTGGTACCGGTATTTGGGATATACCGAATACCGTACCGAATTTGTCTATATTTGGTATTACCGAATACACGTATTATTTTGTGGGATAGGGATTGGGATTGAATTTCAATTGTTATTTGGTATTAGGGATTACGGGATTGGGATCAGTATATACCGAAATACCGATCAATACCGAAATATAAGCTAGTGTGTATTTAATCCTCTCAACTAGACTCTCTCATTCACTACTACGCGACCATCAACCACCAAATTCGTCATTTAATTATACATAGATCATTACATCACTATTTCACACTAGTATTAGTCGTCTCTCAACCTCAAATTCGTCAAATTAAAGATTACCAATTACAAGAATTTGAGATGTTAGCTCTAGGCAACTCAAGACTATTTGCTTAGTCTCTTTGCCCTAAATTAAACAATAAAATCTAATTTATATATTTAATTATTAATTGTAAAGGTAATTAATTATGTATTCGTTAATACCGATTGGGATACCGAGATATCGATTGGGATACCGAAATTATTTAGGGATTGGGATTGGGATACCGAAATTATTTAGGGATTGGGATTGGGATTGATTTTAGGGTGTAATTCGGTATTCGGAATTTCGGTATTTGATATTGGTATTACCGATACCGTACCGATTTCCACCCCTACCTACAATATAGTCAGTGGACTAGGAAACTACGAATGGACGGCTCGTGTCATCACACAGTGATGGAAGTCACCTCAACAGAGATAACACTTACATGGAAGTTTGTGATGCTCGTGCGATGGGGGTAAAATACAAGAATTGCGAAATTGTATTGTACGGCACGCTTAGTTCGTAAAAATTTCCTATTAGAGATTTAATTGGTTGGTAATTTTTAGTAGTGTGAAACAGTTAAATAACAATTAAATCAAGATTTGATCTGAACATTTTATTGTTATTTTTTCACACAACCTCAGACTTTTAGAAAAAAGGCCATGCTAACTAAGTGTCAACGGGCAACGACTGAGAGAGGTACTGCGTGCCCTGACTATTAGCTATAAAATTCAATACGGAATCTCATTTGACTAAGTCACCTTGCAAACTGGTATAATAGGCAAATACATTTATTGGAAAAAATGGTCTTTGGATTTTGGTGTGGAGTTGGAAAAATTGGTCTACTGATCGCACATTTTGCTGTCAAGTACAATTCTCTTTTCCACTTTTGTCCCCTTTTCGTCCCGCCAAACGGTGTTGACGTTGACTCTATATATAATTGTCATTAATTTTTTGTCATATATAATTATGAATTATTAGTTATTATGTATAGGTTGGGAGAACCAATAATGTTTCTGTTGGGCTAAGGATAAGCCCAACAAAATCAGGCCCACTAAAGTAACAACAAATTGGGCCCAATAAATAAGACAATTCAACTCATTGGCTAGATGCATGCTAGACTTCCTTGCACAATTAGCACCGGGCCCAGCTTGTTGGCCGGGAAAGTGTTTAGACCAGTAAACTAGATGATGAAAATGGATATGATAGATGACCAGAAATGCATGTATTGTTTGTTGCCTTAGTTATGCAAGTTGGTCTAATTATGCATAACATGCTTTTTTTATGAATCGTTTTGGTTCATTTCATCTAAAAGCAACACTAGCAACACCCTTGCTAGTTAGGGAAAACACATAAGTTTTGTTTCAACCTGTACTATTAACCAACCTAAAAAAAGACTCAAAATTTTCCCTCCCAAACAGCCCTATAATCTCTTCCTGAACAACTCTACACAAGACATCACATTCCCTGCACTAACCACTAAAAACTCTGATGCACCTTTCTCTCCATAAGAGACTCACCAAGCTGTGCCATAAGGCTTTGCCAACGTGCGACTGGACTGATTGAGACCCGTACTGATGCTGCATCCACTCAATTTCACCCTCCAAGGAGGAAAGCATCTGAGCATTCCTTGAGCCCCTGCAAAACAGTTTCAAGACCAATTTCCTATACAATGGACACTCTGCAAACAAATGGTCCATCGTTTCAAGAGGACAGTTACAAAAAAACACATCCTACACTACCATCAAACCCCCATTTCAACATTCTCTCTTTGGTAGTTACAACTCTTTCAATTATCAACCATGTAATAAACCTGTTCCTAGGGATTGAGCTACCCTTCCATAAGATATTAGACCATGCCACTTTCTGCATTTTTCGCCTAAGAGTCTCCCAGATTCTTCGAATGGAGAAGACCTCCATTCTCTCCTAATCCCAGTAAACTTCCTGCCCCTGCTGATGAAAGTGAGAGCACACTCTCTGCCTTGTTTTCAGTATGCGTTTCCAATTCCAAGATCCAGAACCACCAGAATATAGCCAAAAATCTTGGCCTTTAAGTTTGTAGTTACTAATCCATGCAACCCATAATGTTCCATGCTGCATTAACAAGAGCCATATATGACGTGTAACACAAGCCATATTCCAAGTATCCAAGTCTCTCAGACCATGGCCCCCCTCCTGTTTGGGAAACGTGAGTTTCTTCCATCCAATTTTTGCTTTCAATCTTCTTAACTGCCCCACTTCTCATAAGAAATTGCTACAAATTCCTTCCACTTCTCTAATCACTGCCTTTGGAAGTATAAAAACAACCATCCCGTATTGATGCAAGCTATACAACACTGAACTGACTAGTTCAACACGACCAGCATATGATAAGAATCTCGATTTCCAACTATTAATCCTAGCTACAATTTTGTCAATCAGTGGTTTACATGCTGAAATAGTGAGTTTCCCATAAGACAAGGGGACTCCAAGATACCTGACTGGAAATTTTCCAAGTGTAAAACCATATCTCTCCGCCCTCACCTTCTGTTATGGACCAGGCAGCCCCCCAAAAAACAACTCACATTTACTAGGGTTAACTTGCAAACCAGAGAGCCTTCTAAAACAAGCTAGGATATCTTGCAGTCTTTGGAAACCATAATTTGAACCATCAGAGAACACAAGAAGATCATCTGCGGAGCATAGATGAGTAATTCCAATCTTCTTACACATTGGGTGAAAAGGAAATAACCCTCTCTGTGCTTCTCTATCTAAGATACAAGAGAAAACCTCCATAGCTATCACAAACAGATAAGGAGAGAGAGGGCAGCCTTGCCTAAACCATTTGCAAGCAGGGAAATAACCCACTAAACCTCCATTTAACCCCACACTTAGCATATGTGTACTCACACACATCTTTATCAAACTAATGAAAAGATATGGGAATCCCATATTTTTCAACACTTTGAAAATGAAAAGCCAATCTAAGAGAAACATTTTTCCTAAGCATGCTTGTGAACAAGTTCATGTGCAAGCAAAATATTATCTCCAATCGATCTCCCCTTTATGAAAGCTGTTTGGTTCAAACTAATAAGGTGAGGCAAATGAATCCTAGGCCTATTTGCAATAATTTTGGCTATGACTTTGTAAATGGTATTGCAACAGGAAATAGGTCTGAAAAAATCTCATTTCATCATGGTTCTGGACCTTAGGAACAAGAGCTAATATTGTAGCATTTACTTCTCTAGGAATTTTACTCTCATAAAAGCAAGTTTGGATGGCAACAGTTACCTCTGCCCCTACTACAGGCCAAGCATGTTGAAAGAATGCTTCAGATTAGGGTAAATTGCAAGGTTGGTCACTGGGATTATAAAAAACGTTCATGTTTGGTCACTATAAATATTTAATTTCATTCGTGGTCACTAAGATTAGTTCAATAGTTCAAGTTTGGTCACTCTCCGTTAGTCTCCGTTAACTTTTGCTGATGTGGCAGTCAACCTTCATAGTTGACTATTAAATAACTGACGTGGCTATTAAAAAATAATAAAAAAATTAAATTTAATCTAAAATAATTTCCACCTCATTACACATTCATTAACAAATAAATTAAAAACCTAATATATACTAATTGGCCCCCTTTCCCTTCTTCCCCTTTCTAACTGGTACTCTGTCTGATTTTCTTCCTGGTAAAGTAGAGTAAGTTTTAGGATTAGCTGTGAAAGTAGCCTTACCCATTTCAATCCACATTAATCACGCAGCTCACCGGAGGGTTGCTGTCGTTGTGGAGTTCGGCGAGGAGGACTGAAGGGAGCGGGCATGAATTTGCGGATGGAGTTGCAGAGCGCCGCAATGTCCTGGGTGGCGTCGGGACGCGACGGTGGGAGTCCGTCGGGGATGGTGGCGAACCGGAAGTCGGGGAGGCCGTCGAGGGTGTGGGGACCTCTGGTGTGGAGGAAACGGTTGTGGTTGAATTCGGTGTTGACGTAAGTGATGTGGAAGCCTCTGTTGTGGAGCAGCTTGGCGAGCTTGAGAGTGGCCTTGATGTGGGTCTGAGCTGGGAATGGGATGCAAACGGCATGGGGCTTCTTCGGCAGCGCGGCATCGTTCGAGCCCATTGTACGTCTTGTCTGGTTTGTGTGCTTCAATTTGGGGATTGGATGGAAATGGCTCGTCGTGGCCTTAGTGGTACTCTTCCCTCTCTCGCTGCAGCCACAATACCAATTCTGGACCGCACCCTCTTCCGAGCTCGGCAACCAGCCAGCGCCCCGAAGTTCCACCACACCGTGTACGACTCTCTCCCCACCTTGATCGAAAACACCATGACCACCAATTCACCAGAGACCAGAAATGGCGAAACCAGGGGGGCAGCTGTGGTTTGGAGAATGATGGCCAAAAGGGGGGGGGGGGTTTCTCTTTCTTTTTTTGGTTTGGCCCCTTCCTCTTCGCCTCTATGCACAAAAAATCTGGCAAATTGACAACCAAAAAATGCTGCAAAGCGGCAGCAAGCGAGCTGGCGCCGGAGTGGAGGACAACACAGGGTATTGATAGAAGATGCCCAAGATTAGTTTTCCATTTCAATAAAGAAACAACAAGTGGAGAACAAAGAGAAGTTTGGACATATGGGGTAATCCACCATCACCCATCCGTCCCAGCTGCCGACCACTGTCGCCGCCATCGTCAAGTCCAACTCGATGCTTTGAAGAAGAAGAAGAAGAAGAAGAAGAAGGCACATCTGGGTAATGCCGAAGATGATGGTAAGGCTACTTTTACAGCTAATCCTAAAACTTACTCTACTTTACCAGGAAGAAAATCGGACAGAGTACCGGTTAGAAAGGGGAAGAAGGGAAAGGGGGCCAATTAGTATATATTAGGTTTTTAATTTATTTGTTAATGAATGTGTAATGAGGTGGAAATTATTTTAGATTAAATTTAATTTTTTTATTATTTTTTAATAGCCACGTCAGTTATTTAACAGTCAACTATGAAGGTTGACTGCCACATCAGCAAAAGTTAACGGAGACTAACGAAGAGTGACCAAACTTGAACTATTGAACTAATCTTAGTGACCACGAATGAAATTAAATATTTATAGTGACCAAACGTGAACGTTTTTTATAATCCCAGTGACCAACCTTGCAATTTACCCCTTCAGATTAACCAGCAGGTCTCGGGCTCTTATCTTCATTTATTGTAAAAACCACACTCTTTACCTCATCCTCTGTGACAGGATCACAGAGTCCTTCATTGGAGATAGTCTTCCTCAAAAGCTCAGAGTAAAACCCATCTGATTCTTCAACTATATCTGCATCCTTTCTGCCCAATAATATTTTATAAAATCCTTCAGCTATGTCTCACAAATCCTTCAAGTCGGTGACTCTACATCCATCATCATTCTTTAGCATAGTAATCGTATTTCACCTCTGTCTAGACTTCAAAGATATGTGAAAATATGGAGTATTTGAATCTCCCTCCTTAAGCCAAAGATCCCTAGACTTATGTCTTAGGAAGACTCTTCAGCCTGGAGCAGTTCATGCAACTCCCTTGAAGTTTCAGATTCCTTCTTAAACACTTCACTAGTAGGATTAGATAACGCCTCTTTCTGAACAAAATCAAGTTCTGTCTCTTTTGTTTTCACCCTCTCCCTTATATTCGGGAATTCTTCACGATTTAATTCCTTCAGAAGATTCTTGAGAATTCGCAGTTTCTTATAAACTTTATCATTGGCGGCCCTGACACCCTGCTACTCCAAGATTTCTTAAGCAACTCATCAAACTTGGGGTGTTTGATCCAGTAACGAAAGAACTTAAACGGCTTAGGCAATGACTGCTTTGCAGCCTCTGTATCCACCAAGCTTGGGCAATGATCTGAGATACCTGGCTTCTGAAAATGAACTGAGCTCTCCACCATCTTATCCATCCAACCAAAGTTCACTATCACTCTATCAAGTTTTTCTTTGCTATTGGGCGAGCATCCTGCTTGTTGAGCCAAGTGAACCATGGACCCGTAGCTTGATGATCTTCTAACTCCAACTCCAGGATCCAACTCTCCAAATCCTTCATACTAGTGTTGTAGTGTGGTGTATTTGATGCTTTAGAAGCACTTCGGATTACATTGAAGTCACCTGAAATCATCCAAGGATGATCTCTAATTCTAAGCTTCTTCAAATACTCAAACAACCTTCTTCTATCTCTTTCCTCATTTGATGCATAAACAAAGGTTGCAAAGAAAGGTATAGCAGAGCTAATAATGACATGAATGAACTTATCAGTAGAGTGCAGAATTCTCAGGCGTATGTCCGTCCTCCATATCAACCAAATCTTTCCTAAATCTGCTGAGTTGTAAGTAATCTCATTTTCTCAATCTGAAAACCTCTTATTCACAAGCTTCTTCTCTTCTTTTCTTCTAATTCTAGGCTCAAGTATAGCTACTATACTAAGCAAATCATAATACTTACTACCAGCTGTAAACCCTCTTGTATTCCAAGTGATTATTTTCATTTCTTCTTCTTCCTACCCTTACTACCTTTACCTCCTTTTTTCACCACTTAGAATGGCACCCATATTTTCTTTCCTTTGTCCACCATAGGTAATATGCTTGCTGACAATAGACAATTGTCTCTCATTCCCTCCCTAAGGAGATTGAACCCAAGAGCTCCCATCTTTGCAAGATGATGACTCTTCTGGTTTAGTCATTTGCTCAGCTGTCACATGGCTCCTGTTTGGGAAACGTGAGGTTCTTCCATGGATTGATGGATTGGATTGAGAATTGTCACCTCTAGTTCCAACGAACTGACCAATCAACGAATCTTTCCACCTCTCAACACCTTTCTCGTTGACCTCCTTCGGAAGCCGAAACCCATCCTTCACTTTCTCTGGAGGACGGCATTGAAGACGATTCTCAGACGCTACCTCAAACAGCTGTGCCCAAGTGATGCCCTCGCCAGTCGGCGACGAGCCCGACGGCGAGGCTGCCATAAAAAAAGATCGAAACCCTAGATTTCAGAGAGAAAAGAGAAGAGAGAGAAAGAAGATAAAAATATGATTGCATAAATAAATCATTATTGCAATAGAAAAATAATATGAGTAATTGTCTTTCACTACTTTAGTAGATCATATAGTTGAAAATTAGAGTTATTTCACATAATACATTCATAATTAACCTTAAGGATTAAAGAAAATGATTGATCTCTGATAAAGTTTAATATCTCTCTATAGTGTTTATCCTAGTAGACGACATCCAGTGACCCATCTGCAGCTTCGTTGATGGCAATATGGACAGAATGTTGACGAGAGATGGTAGGGAAGACTCAATACCACCAGTAATTGATGAAGATAATCCATCTTTGTGCATTACAGACTCTTTCCCGTGAGATGTAAATGATGAAAGAAACCATTGTTTAGTAGGAGATGGTATGATAAAGTTGTGGGCTGTAAAGATAATCTATAGGTCCTAGTTCAAGTGATGCACATAAATGTATCTCAAACATAGGCAATATTTAGACTACAATCGGAATTGTGGGCTTGAAAAGTGCACTAACATGTGTGGTGGGATCTTTAATTTTAACCACGGTGAAGTTAGGCTAAGAATCACTATACTAGTTGATCGTGAATTGAATATTGAATTTCTTAGCCACACTAGGCAGGCTAACAAATTATAAAATTTCAACATTTAGGGGTCGTTTAGAGAGCAGGATTCAGGACATGGATTTACTGAATCCGTAGATTTTGTAGGAAGTTATATTTTTTTATTGTTTTTTGTATTGTGGATCTAACTTTAGAGATTTCAAATCTCTAAAATTTGCGGATATCAAATCTCTCATAATCAGAGAGATTCTATATCTTGATTCGTGATATATTTTTTTCCTGGTTTTTCTCTTTCTTTTATTTATTTATCACATGAATTATATTTATCAACACAGTTTTTAATATTTCTTGAATCAATCTAATTTTTTTATTAAGGATAAACATGTTATTTAATATAAAATTATTATTTATTTTAATTGAATGTTAACAATCACAGTTACCAAACAATAAACATTTTAAAATATGTTTTCAACAATCCGAAGAGTTAGAATTTTTAGATTTTTGACAATCTATAGATTTAAACTCATATTCTCCAAACGCCCTTAATACAACTTCAAATAATTTTTTCACGTATATTATTGAGTCCAGCAGGAGTGGGTGGCGCGGGCAGTGACGATTGGATTCAGAGATAGGGAGTGATTTTTTTTTTCTAATTGTTTAATTACATTTTTTTTATCTCCCAAAAATAAAAAGGATAAATAAGTAATTTTATATTCTAAATTAGATAATTTTAAATAAAAATTAGAATATCATTTAGCAACACTCAACACCAGAGCATCAACTCCGGAGGACCAACCAACAACTAGACCACCCGACGCATTAACCGCGTCAACAAAAAAACAATTGGACATATTGAAACCTAACCCGCGCATCCTACGGGAAACTACTCGACGACTCGATCTTGTTTCAGATAGGAAGACAAGATCAGGCTTATTGGAATGCATTAATCCTAACGCCGTACGGAATGTGAGGGTTGGCCCAATCCCTCTCACATTCCAGACCAAAATCCTCATTTATCCAGCTGGGGCCATTTATGGCTGGCTACCTCCACCTCTTCAGTCTCTTCCTCCACTTCTGTAAATTGTCGTTTGGGAGACGGATCCTCCTCCAACTTCCCTCCTGCTTCCTGAAAACCTCGCTTTCTAGATCCCATCATAAGCTGACCATCAGTAGAGCCATACTCATATAGAGGTAGATTCTCCATCAGAGTTCTCTCTCTCACTTCCTCAGCATCCATACGGCCAGTCTCAGCAGATTTTGTGAGCTTACCAGCCACCTTAAATTCGAAGGCTTCGACAGCACGCCTCACATGGCCCTTCCCTGGTAAGATAGGCCTAGGTCGCCTCTCTATATCTGCCCGGCTCTTTAACTCAAACTGTTGGCCATCAGCCTCCGGGTCCGGGCTGGAGTCATCATCATCCGACCCCTCCTTCTCGTACTCCTCCTCACCCTGCATCCTTATGTTCACCTGCACCTTGCGTGATGCAAAGGTATGCGGAGAGGGAGACGATAAGAGGTC